TAAACAAGGGTCTCAGTGGTCTTAATTTAGTCAAGTGTATCCAAATTATCGCCATCGTAACAAGCAGAACACTAGCTATCATTCAAAACATTCACTTGCCTCTCGATCATACTGATATGATGGATCTGTGTACTACCGACGGATATGTTCTTAGGGCCTTGGAAACGACAGTAGACTGTAAACATCAGATATTTTTCAAGAAATGAAACGACATCACTACTCCGTTGTGCTATTTCTCCAACACTGTATCTGCCGATGTGATAGTGGAGTTACCGAGTGATTCCATTAATACAGTGACGGAGTTTGCAATCCATTTCAGTGAAAACAATTTCACCGCTGATCGCCTGTTTCATGATCTTCCTTAGGCCGACAAAATCATAGTCTCATACCACTTCATCATCGATTAGTTCCTCCAAAACATTATATGCGACATCATCTGAACAGCGAAACTGAACCATATCCCTCTTGCTAGCAACATGCGATCTTCAGTCGCCTATCTAGTCTCATGAGTGCAGTAATGAATCAATTAAGACAAACGTTGTCTGTCATCGGTGAGGCAAGCTGCAATATCAGTTTTGAAGGAGCTCGTAAATATCTTTTATGTTTCTGGTGTACCATCAAAAGTGGCTACTTTCAATTCTGGTAGACTTCATCAATGAAGCTGGTTCAATACTCCCAGAACCTGACTGATAAACTGGCTATATAAAGGGATTAGATAACGATGAAATACACTAAGATGGCGCCATCATCTTTAGACTGTCTCAGAACAGAAAGTCTTTTTCTTCAAAGCTAACTATCTCAAATTCCCAGTCCTCATAAATACTTCTTTCCCAGATCTGTAACATTTTGCACAGAATATGGTTATCTCACGATCGTATATGACGGTTCAAACAGGCGTCTCTAACTACCGATTTACCAGTAGTAAAGGATTGTAACTATCAATTACGGAGAGAAGTACTCAATACTAAGTGAATAAGACAACTTCCTAAAATCGCCTGACATATATGGCGACAGTTGAAGGACAACAATCAAGTACTCAGGAATACGGATGTAGTACATTCTGAGCATGATTGACATAATACAACTCAGAATTGAAAATTCCATTTTAGCCTGTTTAGTACAATTGTCACACAGCGAAATAGTATTATTTGCTGGGTTACATTCCAGACATCATTTATAGTCCATATTCATATCAGGTAACAAACCCTATACCTTTGAGACAGAATTTTTATATAGTCCTAATTTTCTCTCCTTCTTTGTAATGATAAAGGGAACAGAATTTCCCACATATCTGGAACAAATGCTGAATTATTCTCCTGTTGTATTTATTTGATAAACAAAGTTGCAGTTATCAATCCCTCCCTCCAGCCTATTAATCAGTTTTAAGGACTGTCACTATGTTTCTTCCTATTGTGTACAGTGGCATGAGTAGCTGTAATTGAGCCATTCTCTAAACCCCTTATCTTTTTAGGATCTAGTGTTCTTATTCTGATTGACCCTGGGGTCAACTGGTTTGATCTCGCAATCAATGTAAGGGATTTAGTGAACTAATTTATTCTGCTTAATTGAACCATTTAAGCTACAAATCTTGTTTCTAAGGGAGTTTGTTGATTTAAATGCCTCTCTAATCCCAATCAGCCTCATTGAGATTTCTTCGTAACCCTATCCGAGGTACCAACTTTGTGGGGTAATACAGAAGAGACTTTGAATTCTCTCTTCACTCTGTCGCTATTATTACTACCATACTAATTGGAATCGAAAAATTGAACAGTGACACAATAGTTCCTTATAATTTTCTGACCCAGTCAAGTCACTAGCAAATCAGAACAAAACTAAAGAGAGAATAAACCAGATATGGGTACCTAATAATCAATTTGATGACAGTATAGAGTGAAATGCATGTTTATAGGTTTTAACACAATGGATAACTTAATGAGTTTTCACAGACAAATTAAAATTCTCATAGAAGGTTTCAATACATCTTAGGAATAAGATTTAGGCTAATTGCTTCTAGATGATTTTATGTATAAGTTTTGGGCAATAGTGGTATTCTTGAACAGAATATAACTACTTCTCGTCATTTCAGTTAGGTTGACACTGTGTGAGATCAAATAACTAAAAGTAACCGAGAATATGTCTGTCTGATGGTTATTAACCACGTGCTGCAAGCTTTAAGTCAACAGGCAGTAAGTCGCATTCAGGTAGTTACCAACCATTGATGATGAATTCGAAAAAAAGGCTACCTGCACATTTCACACGTCTGTTTAACTACGGAACATGTTCTAAGTTGGACTAGATTACGACGTGAAACGTTCTAAACTAACTAGCTAACTAACCAGATAAAAAAATGGAATACATAAACAGAGAGATAAACAAAATCAACGTACAACCTCGTACACAACTGTATCGGTTCAAGTTATCACACTTCACAGCAGTATACAAAGAACAAGTAGACAGAATAAGTGTGATATTAAAGAAAACAAGTTGCATCAGTGCAAATATCCAAGCTTTACAAGACGTTAAAGAGTGACGAGACTGATTTCCAGCCATGTCATTAGGAGTCCTCAAACATTGATTCCTATCTTCTCGATGGCCCCAGTTAGGTAGCCGACATCTTTCCATATGGCTCAGATCAAAAGTTGCGGACTTTTGTCACGTTTTTCTCTGGTCATCCTCTTCCAACCTACTCAAACTTCTTCCAGTATACCAGTGCGAGGTATGTGGTGACTTGGCAAGCACAACATATGGTGTCTAAGCCATATCAGTCGATGAAGGATCGTAACGTCATCAATCGACTTGCCTATCTTGTCGCTTAGTACCCCCCTCGCATGACCTCGATATTGCTCACATAATGGTTCCACCATACACGAGCAATCCTACGAAGACATCTGAACTGTGGCAGAGCAGTATAACTATGGTTAAGTACATACTCGGATATGTCATCAGTCGGCGTCATAGATAATGCAAGTTGGCAGATTCTAAACGGGTCTTCTGTACCCTAGCTAATATTTCTTGAGCAACCACCTCGTTCAGGCTAATACAACTCCTTAAGTAAGTGAAGTGGTCAGCACACTCCACCACTTCACTACCTATCAATTAACAGAGAGTAGTTATAGACCAGTCATAGAGTATCATCTTACATTTGACAGGTGCGAGATGCATGCTAAACATACTTAGACTTATGCTCAAGAAATAAGGCGTAATAATGATAATCATACGTATTTCACTTTTCATGGCTTTTGATCCAGTAATGAGAAACAGGAATCCAGGCACCTTCTAACAACACGCGAGAGGCGGTATTCATTTAGTATGGTATAGATTATAAATAACCAATTATTCTCTGTTGATTTTTATGGGTCTTTCTCTCATATCCTCCTTCATAAAAACTGCTACTGCCTCCTTAAGAAGAAAAGGTCAACGAAGTGGAATATCAAATGCGAATAATAACGTGTAAGCAAATAAAAATGAGATAAGATACAAGAATGAGAGTGATTTCCTCTACACTAAACAATGAACTGCTATGCATAATGGGAGGATCAAGGATACTTGTCTACTAACTTTTCAGACCTCGATACGTGGGGTAGGGATACATGCCATAAATCATTAGTAAAAAAACATATAACTAATGTATCACAGCTTTATGTGAGAAAAAGAGAGGATATGTACGCAGAGATGACCCCCCGAAAAATGATATCATTACGATATGCGTTGACAATAATAAAGTTATGATGAAACCCTTATTCCCTGGAATTCAATCCTTCACCTCTCAGTAGTCTATCAATCATATTCAATCCGAACCAGTTGTTCAATGACGATTACAAGCAATTATCTATGACAAGTTTACCTTGGGTTTAAGCAGGTTTAGGCGCTTGACTTTCAACCAGTTGGTAACAGGTTCAAACCCAGCCCCATCTACGGAAGTGTCAGCAACCAGATAGTAATATCGGTATACTACACACGAAACATGTGACCTATTGTGCCTTTTTCAAAAAAAACGTACAGTTCGTTGCAAAAAACAGTTCGACACTAGAATATTTATAGAGTAGAATTACATTCTTCGTAAACAGTAACTAATACTGATGACAGATAGTGGCTAGCAGTGGAATCTAGGACGCACGTTTCATCCTATTTAGGACTCATCAGTTGGATGTAACTGCCTCTCAGTGGGCGATGTTATTCCCACCAGGACTCGAACTCGGGACCGACCGTCAGAGTGTCATCCTCTAGACCACTTAGACACTTCTTGTGCCCATATACGAATAGAGACCGATCAATTCTGTCTAATCAACGACAGGATAATACAAGCAATAACATTAAACAGTAACTAACTTCAACAATAAACAACATCATGGACAAACAGAAGGCATCAAATCAAGAATAACAATCCGCAGTAGATCAGTAATAGCTAATGCAAAATATAATCACATACTAGTCTAGAAATATGTGTATTTATTAGAAAAAAAACAGATACAATACAATTGTGAGTAAAGGAAACACTCAAGTACACAACGATAAGATTTGTTTTCATCTTGTAGAGAAAAAGGGGAAGAGAGAGGGAGAGAGAGAGAGAGAAGCATGAAGGGAGGAAAATTATCATCTTTTTAAGAAAGCATGGTTTTTAGCTCTAATCACTCTAGGCAGTAATGATAATGATGATGGTTGTAGTAGACACGTGTCAACAGCATACGTCAACGCTCACAGCATAGAGTATATATGTACAAGGTAACATTTTTAAACTTAAGCGATATACTGAAAGCGAGAAAAGAAATAAGTAAATAAATCGTTTGGTATATTAGGCAGTCAATGAGTTGAATATGGAAGAAGGAAAAAAAACAATAGAATTTTAACATATGTCTTATCAGTAATAATCTCTGATATATTTCCGATGGTAAACAGACACTGATCGAGATTACAAAAGAGAAAAAAAACAACAAGACAATTAAGTTATTTTAATGATGACAACGATGATAATGACGGTGATCCATGGATTAATAAAGCGCCTAGTTGAGATGATACAGGTTGAGAAATTCCAATCGTGCATCATAACGAGATAAACAAGCGAAATGCTCTGGCATCCAATCTTTCAATGACTCTGAGCAAGCATTCAACCACATAATCCAGGCATCACGTTCCTCAGGTGTATCAGCACACAGTAAGTGTCTAAGAGATTTGAAAGGAAATACATCAATGTCAATAATATTAATAATAATCGCAAACATAGTAAATAGATATGATATAATCCAACAGGAAGTCGACCAGTGCAATCCGACACAGTGATTACATGTAATTTGTCGACAATCGAGACTAGTAGTCTTTGATTCACAACCTAACAAGATGGACGGGTACTGAAGGCTCGATTGGATTTCGCCAACTTATGCCACCTATGGCGCCGCCGAGATATCCGACTGTCTATTAGGGGCACGTGTGCTGCACTTGTACAGTAGTCCGCTCTGTTCTACTGTATTACTGATGTGAAACATGCCTATTCAAGGTGGAACACATCAAAAGGCTTCAAGTGTTTGACCACACTTGCCTTCATAGTATACGTCGTATTCTGTGGCATCACCATGTCAGTAATGCACAAGTCAGGAGTAGAGTTTCAGCGAGTAGAGGTAAATCACTTGACCAGGTTATCAACCTTCATCCACTAAGATGTTTGGCTCTGACACGCACTACGTATGCCTAGTCACTGATAGCCTCGTCACACAATGTTGGACCAAGTAGGTTCAGGCTGGAAAAACGCCCGACGTGGCCAGACTAAAACATCACACCAATGCATGAAGTCTCTGACTGTTGGTTTCAGCCGTATATGTGTGGCGATGCACAATGGAAGGTTGGGGTCCATGGAACAAGAGAAACCTGTAATGGTTGAAGACTCTAGGTCATCTCATGGCTCACAACCGATGTCAGTGGCACAGATGTATACACACATTATCCTCATCTTAATAACGCTATACCGAATCTCACCATTTTGTCATTCTTCCTTTCTTTCTTCTCCTACTCTATATTTCTTTTGACTGAATTTTCTTATCTTCATTTTTCACCTCACTACCTTTCTACTTGATGTACTGATATGAGCTGTGGCAACTCGGAACGTTACGCTGTAATGCCTGGTCTTATGCTGATTTGGATGGATATGCTGCAACCATGATTGGCTATGTGCATACTTTATTCCTGCAGTATTTTTTTCTTTGGAAAAGAGGAACAAACTATATGAGTAGGATAAAATGAATTCGTTACAATCCCACAGATTTATTTTCAGTCACCTACCAAAATGTTATCTATGAAACAATATTGGAAATTCACCACACTTATTAACTTGGAGAGAAAAGAAAGACATCAGTACAGTAAAGTGAAACGAAAACTATGATATCAAAGATAAAGAAGCTTTAATAAGGCTTTAACACCAAATTATATTATACCCATCACACAAGGAATGGCTATCGTGACTCAGTAGTTGCCTAGTAGATAACACTGGCGTCTGGAGCGAGGGGTGCTGGGCTCGAGCCCCCCAGGGAGGCAAGTACAACCAGCTGATGAGTCTCAAATAAAACGAAACGCACATCTATTCTTTCGCTACCCACCAAGAAGGTTAGTTCACTACGATAGATAGCGCAGGGTTCTAACCATGACGTCTTGATTGTAAATCAATGGGCTTCAGTCGCATCCCTTTAGACTGTATAACAACTGTATATCACATGTATAAACTAAGAAGAATGGAAATTAACTTAGTAGACTCACCTTTGCTCCAACCATTTAAAATCATTCGAAGCACGAAATACTAAACTTTCATTAGTACACTTCTTATTGTTTCCAGTTGTAGATGAATTATTATTAGTAGTATTACTACTAACTGAAGCAGATAAATAATTTGGATCAATTTCTCGAAGTGAACGCATATACAATGTATTGGAACGAGCACAAATAGAACGTGGTGCAGGTACAGCACCAGGTGCTACAACATGTCGTAGATCTATACGACCTAATGGTGGATGTAAAGGTTTAGCATTGTGCAATGGATTATTGGAACGTGATACTCCACTATGTTCATCTTCTGGATACCTCCAAAAATGAAGATAATCTGCGCGTAATTGACACCAATAACGCTGCCATACACCCATTCCACTAATTTCTTCAAATACTGTCTAGTATACAAAAAAGAAAGGAGGAGGAGGAGGAGGAGGAAGGAATTATAATTTATGATTAAAAACTTTTTACTTACCATAAAACCTCGAGTTAGCACTTTAGCTTCTAGGCTAACGAAAGCATCAACGAGACCAGCTGTACCAGCCAATGGGCTAGAACGGGGTAAATGCAATAAACGTAATGGCAGACGACTTGAAACGTTTGTATTGTTATCACCTTTATTATTATTAACAGAAACTGTTGAACAGCTAGGATACGATTTATTTTGAGTCGACGGGTTAACACGACCACCAATCAATAAATCATCATTGTAATGAATTTCCACAGAAGAAATTAAAGAAAAGGCTATGACAAAAATAAACAAAGAGAATAGAAGTGTTTAAATATATATTAGAAAACTGGGGAAATAGGCATTTTCATATACAGGAATGAAGTAAATGATAGAGAATTATGGTATAATAGTTCCCCTCCCCCTCCCATCTAATTTAGATGCGATTTAATTGTAATGCATAAATAAAAAAGTATGTGAGAAGATGGTCACTGTGATGCTATCGTAGTTCATTGGTCTAAGCAGCAGTCAACATCAAACCAGTGTATCACAGATTCGAGTCCTGCTCGACTGACCAAGGTCTAGACAGTAAGGCAGTATCATTCACTTTCGTTACCGACTGTACAGATGTAGAAGTGATTGTTCAGTGCGTTATGAATGTACAACAATAATGAACTGTTAGCATTATTTACTCAGTAAACATCAATATACTGAAATTGTGAAATGTTTACAATGATCTCAACACTTTTATGATAATAATAGACAGTGTAAAGTAATAGTATAATTGTTTGTATTATACCGTCGTTGATTGGACCGAATTGGTCGATCTCTATTGGCATATGGGTTCCTGTACGGATGCCTCAATATTGCCTGTGTTCTTATGATAGTAATGATGGATAGTTACTGACAGTGGGATCCAGGATGCACATACCTCCCAGTGAGTTATGTTGTTCCCACCAGGATTCCACTGCTAGCCACTATCCATCATTACTATAATTAGAACACAGGGAATATCGAGGCATCCACACAAAAGCCCAATAGAGACCGATTAATTCGGTCCAATCAACGATGGGATACTACAAGCAATTATACTAAAACTATACCCGTCGCACAAGAAGTGGCTATCGTGGCTCGATGGTCTAGTAAACAACGCTCTGGCATTTAAGGTGGTCGGTCCCGAGTTGAAATCCCGGTAGTAACAACATCACTCAATAGGAAGCAGGTACACCCAGCTGATGAGTCCCAAATAGGACGAAACGTACATCCTGGATTCCACTACTAGCCGCTATCCATCATTAACGTAAAATAATGATTAAAATTCGCTTTAGAAATCATCTCTTCTAGCAATGAAGAGAAAGTCATTCTGTATTGACAATAATTAGAAAATAAAGCTTTTTCTGAGACTGAAATGTATGTCATCCAGAATATTACTTAGAAGAATTATAATACAGAACCTATCCGAACAGCAATTGATGCCTTTTAACAAATAAATAGATAATAATCGAAGAAGACGCTAATAATATTCATGTGTAGTACAGTCCAAAAACAGTTATTGTGTTGGTCAGATGTATAGAGATATGATAGATCTTATTAAACAGAGATTTTACTAAACCTCACTTGTATTGGATCGGACAAAAACTATGAAATTTCAGATATTGTCCTATCAATATAGGCTTTCTGTAGACTAATTGAATCATCTCGTTGACTCAGGATTAAGTGACTCCCATATATCTAGTTATATGTCTTCAAGAAACCTCTGATTTCCTATTACTCCAACTTTTTCTCAAGGAACAATTATTATTGCTATGTACCGACAAAGTTCATTTCACATTTGAAGGTGAATGCTTTTGACAAGTTGACGGTGTAGCTATGGGTAGTCCCCTTAGGACCATTGCTAGCTGATATTTATACGTCATATATCGAAAATCTGGTGGGTGAACTCATTACTAAAGTTCCTCTTTACAAGAGATATGTTGATGGCATCATAAGTGATTTGTGAGAAGTATAAAGATGTCGCTTATCTACTGAAAAGACAAAACTGTACGAACTCAAATCAGCCTGACTTGTGAGAAAGAGAATAATAATCATCTGGTATTCTTAGACGTGCTCCTGAGCCGATGAGAAGATAGTTTAATAGGACGGTTAGTCTACAGAAAGCCTACATGGACAAGACGCTATCCGAAATTTCATAGTTTTTGTCCAATCCAATACAAGCAGGGTCTAGTAAAACGCTTATTCAACAGGATCTATCGTATCAGTACATCAGATACGATGATGGTATCAAATTAATGGCCAAAACACTTATGGAAAATGGATATCCGTTGAAGTTTGTAAACCGTAATAGAAGTTGGTTAGCACCAAAGTTCTTGTGTCATCGCAAAAGGTAGCCAAGGGAAAGACAAAAAGTCGGAAATAATTTGATCAAAATCTAAAACTGACTAAATGGCTGACAAAATTAACGTAGAACCTCGCACACACCTGAATCGCCTTAAGTTGCCACATTACTTCATGGTAATATACAAAGAACAAGTGTATAGAAAAACAATGATATCAAGGTGGATGTTGTGTAGGAGAACAAGCAATTTGAAGACGACAAAGAGTGGATATAGCTGCACCATTATCAATCACCACTGATTCCTGTCGTTTCGGCGACTCCAGTTAGGTAGCTTACATTTCCCCCACACGACTCAAGCCAATAGTCAGGCGCTGATGTCACGTTTCGGTCTGGTCACCCCCTGAACCCTCTCTACCAGTCTAATCTAACTTTCCCTAGCATGGCACGTCTAGGTAAGCGGTGGCTCGGCATGAGCAGTACATGTCCAAGCCATTTCAATCAATGAAGGTTCAGAATCACATCAACGAACGTATATAGTACCCTACGCCCGACCTCAACATTGCTCGCATGGTGATTCCACCATATGTGAGCAATTCAACCAAGACACCTATGGTTGCAAGTTGGCGAATGTCAAGCTGAGGTTTCATCAGCAACCATCTCGTGTTCCAGTTAATGTAACTCCCCAAGTCAGTGAAGTGGTCACAGAATATCTCATCAATTTATTACTTATCTCTTAACTGAGAGTACTTGTAGCAGATCAGTTCTAAAATATTATCTTACATTTGACAGGTGTGAGCGCAACTTATACCAATGTGTTCAAAAGACCCTGTATTTTGTCAGCGTCCTCATCTAGCAGGACAATGTCTTTCGCATACTCTAATGCAAACAGATGCCCTCCTAAGGTTATGCTCATTCGTACATCTTACTGTGAAACTTATTTGACGAATAGAAATGCTTATGATCAACAATTAAATAAAAATAAAAGCATACCAGGAATTTTATCTCGTCCACTGTAAATATTTTGATCAACATCAGATATTTTATACGGAGGAGTTTTAAAATAAGTAGATGGTAGACAATGTGTTAATACGTGACTAGCAGTTTCACAAGGAGTTAGTTCATTGTTTGAAGTATCATGATGCTGATGCTGTTGATGATGATGATGATAATGACCGAATCGAGATTTCTTACGACTTGAAGGTGGAGATGATAATGGTTTGCAATGATATAGTTTATGCTGAGGTGTTGTATAATCAACTACTTCATCATCAGCATCTCTATGCACTAGTGTTGATCTAGATATACGCGGTGATCCATAAGCACGAATACTCATTGGTCGATCCGATCCTGTTCGCATGCAGTAGATTTCTAATTGAAATACAAAATCCGGTCTTATAGGAACAATCTATAAATTAAAATGTAAAGTAATTGACAGGTAATATAGTGTGGAAGTCATCATGAATGTGTGAATATGTGACTCAAAAAAATTAAAGAAACTTGATTCACCCTTTTCACGGTTATGATACAGAGTTGTGAGAACGAACGAAAATACTTGACGATTGATAGTCAAGGGTTGTGACAATTCAACCCGAGTAATTCACAAAAAGAAATCAAAAGACTGAAAATTAAACGAGTTTATATTATCTCGAACTAAAAAAAAACTTTTATGAGTGAAAACCGACTCTATTTATAGAGTTGACAGTAACCTTGAAAGAAAGACAAAGGGATAATTAGTACATTTAAAGAGGCAGGAGCCTATCATACGAAATATAATCCATGCGCAGGAAAAAGAGCGTATACAAACCAGTTCAAATATATACAAGCTATAAGTATGGAATATAAGGGATATAGGCATCTCTAACAATTACATAAGAACTGCTATGCTTCCAAACAATTGGAGCCAATCAAAGCAAAAATATATCAGACTTTCATTATCAATGAATTACGTAACAGTAAAAAAAACAAAAGCGAGGAAAGACATACGAATGTAGAAACCTGATATAGAAATGCATCGGTTCAACTTATCACATTTCACAGAAGTATACAAAGAACAAATGAATTGAAAAAGTGATATCAAGGTATACAAAAGTGTACGAGGGAAAACAGAGTAGACATATCAAGGTTCATGAAAGATGTTGAATGAGTTTACCAAAGGAACTGAATGGTGTGAGTTCACAAAATGTTCTGTTATTGAGCTGAAGTTACATTTCAGTTCTCTTTTTAACAGTCAGGCTGGGTAGTGTTCGCGAGAACATTTTACAAACAGTCATATAGTACGGCCGATGTACTCAGCTCAACAAGAATAAATAAACTGCAAAATCCTTGACGAACTCTACTAGAAAACGGTTTCCCACTCAGATTCACAGATAAGACAAAGCTAAAAAGACCAACTAGACGAACACATTTGGCGCCGAAAAAGATTCTCCTGTTGAATCTTGAATTCGAAAATGACATTGCTGAAGACATCCTCAAAAAACGAATGTTAGGATCCTTGAATAGAACATACTTCGCCGCCAGCCATTCAATCATTATTTCCTCAAAAATACTTCTTGGTTAATATGAGAAAGATAAGCTGATGCATTGGGCTAAATAAATGTGTGTGTATCAGTTTACTTGCTTCTGTGGAGCTGAGTACATCGGCCGTACCATATGTCCACTTGTATAACGTCCTCATGAGCACTACCCAGTCTGGGTGGTAAAAGGAGAACGCAAATGTATCTTCAGTTCAATAACAGAACGCCTCGTGAACTCAGGCCACTTAGCTCCTTTCGAGAGCTTATTCAAAATTCTCTACAGGGTTTGATCAAACCACTAGAAGGGAGTACAATTAAAGCATTTGTCTATAGATGAAGCACTAGCCATCCAGAAGACCGAACCAATAAGATGATAGAGAGTGTAAAAATTCATATCATCGTGGCCGATACTTAGCTACTTCACCAAGAGTCACGACGACCCCGCCCGGTTCGAATACCTTTTCATATAAGTGAGAAACTTAGGCACTGTGGTAGACTCAATCCATATTAGATTTGTTTATTCGATATATAGGGCACAGTGCTACAATATTATTTATTATTATTATTATTAGTCTCTTGGGTTCCTAGTGGAACATAGGGCTTCAGTAGCACGTCTCCAGTAACCTCTGTTCTCTGAGATCTTTTGAACCTGGTTCCACGACAGCCCACAACCTCTCGTTTCCTCCTCGCATGACCTCCTCCATGTCACCCTCAGTTGGGACGTCCAACTCGTCGCTTCCCATGGGGATTCCACTCGAGTGCCTGGCCTGACGCGTGATGCCCCAGTCGGCCTTCTCAGTGCATGCCCAATGCATCTCCACTTCCTTCTGCATATTTGTTGAGCGATAGGTTCTTGGTTGGTTCGTTCCCAGAGTAAGTTCCTTGTTGCTTATTCTTATTATTCTGGCCATCTGATCTCCACTAGCGAGCGTAAGCAGTTGTTGATGAATGTCTGTAGTTTATTGGAAATCCCTTTCGTGACGCGCCAAGTCTCTCAACCATCACACAGAAGCACTAACTTGACGTTGGTGTTGAAAATCCGGATCTTATTCTTCATGCTGAGTGCAGTGCAGAAGATCTCCACACTGGTTTCAGGCTAATGAACGCCTGTCTTGCTTTTCCGATTCTGGCTGGTTTTGACATCCTCGTCTGCGCCTGTGTCGCCTGTAGTTGAAACAGTGCTTCCTAGATAGGTGAAGGAGGTTACTTCCTTTAAGTTTCTCCCGTTGATGGTGATTGGAGTTTGTTGTTGTTGTTGGAGTTCTTTGTGCGGTATCTTCATCACTTCTGTTTTCTCTATATTCACTTGAAGTCCTGTCTTCGTTGACCTGCCTCTTCTGTCAACTTGTTAGTTTTCGCCTGAAGATCTTCAAGTTTATGTGACATCAGACACAATATTATTTACTTGATGACATTTCAAGCATAAATTATTATTATTCATAAAATTATATCAATGTAACCACCACATATCAGTCTCGACATCTGGTTTTTACAGTTCTGTCACCTCATATTCTTTACTTTTATTGGTAGTAAACTTTTCCATATGTTTGGCATACGTGTTGCATCATTCCCATTACATGTGATGGGTGTTGGTTGATTCGATAAACAAAGCTTTAGTAATCAACCACTCTCCCTCTCTCTCTCTCTCCACCTAATTATATTGAACTTCCAATAAACTACAGACATTCATCAACAACTGCTTACGCTGGCTCGCTAGTGAAGATCAGATGGCCAGAAAAAATAAGCAACAAGGAACTCTGGGAACGAACCAACCAAGAACCTATCACGCAACAAATATGCAGGAGGAAGTGGAAATGGATTGGGCATGCACTGAGAAGGCCGACTGAGGACATCACGCGTCAGGCCAGGCACTCGAGTGGAATCCCCATGGGAAGCGACGAGTTGGGTGTCCGAGATGAGGGTGACATGGAGGAGGTCGTGCGAGGAGGAAATGAGAGCTTGTGGGCTGTCGTGGAACCAGGTTCAAACGATCTCAGAGAACAGAGGTCACTGGAGGCGTGCTACTGAAGCCTTATGTTCCACTAGGAACCCAAGGGAATAATAATAAAATAATAATAATCAACCGCAAAGTCGTTTTATCCCACTCATCTCATTCTGTCGTCGCACATGTGTGTGTGTGCGCGCACACATACATTGCAATACACCAGTCACCTCAAAAATTATTCATCTTATTCACATCTCACTCTCTGTCTGTCTATCTCTTGTCTATCATTTCACATTTTCACCTAAATTACTATGTTCCTTCCACTATTCCAACTCACACCGTCCACCTACTGTCATCTATGCACTTCACCTGACTGACTCACTCACTCACACTCATCACATCGAATTTCCTAGATTACATCATTTTGCTCATTTCAATCTATCGCATTCTTAACCCAGTCGACACAGTTTATCTCTCAGTAAGTTTGTAGGTTCAAATACAACCACAATTCCAGCTTTGTTGACGAACCTATGTAAACTTTCTGATGTACCTTCCTTATCCTTATATGCTGACAAAATAGAGGCTTTGAACTTGTTTCTACTCCTCTTGTCGCTATTATTCATATTCATACTACTGTTATCATGTTGTTTCTTACGTTAGGCTTTATAGTCTTTCCTAACCTCTGCTATCTAGTGTAACAAGAATGTGGAAGTGTTGGGAAACCCACTTACTGTTATTGCAAACAAATCTACTATCAAAGCTGAGGTTAACCACTTTTTCTTAATGACTGATCAACAGACCCAAGAAGACAGAATGTCCAAACTACCTTACAGAGAATGAAGGTTCAAAGATTCATCAATCGACTCGCCTTCCTGACTTAGTATCCTTCATCTAACCTTGACATGATTCACATGGTGTTTGCACCAGATGTAAGCAATGTTTAGAGAAAACACTTGTGGTCGAAAACATTTAATCCCTTTACATCTACACCTACGAAAGTAAGTTTCGAAGCTAGCGTTCTAACCAATACAGTCGATTAAGAGAATTGCGAGAGAAAATCACGACAAGATGGTACTCATGATTAGGAGAAGAAAAAGCTTCCTACCTTGAAATGAATTGAACGTGTGAATGACACAACTTCCAAAGTGATCACCAAATGTTTTTGGTAATTCCATTCTTACCTCTACACGTTCACACTACGTAAAGTTACTTTCACTTTTTTTGTCTTCAATTTTATACTACTTAATATTTTTGAGTAGTATAGTTTATATCTCCATATAATGTCGCTTCACCTGCAGTCTTGATTGCTCATTCTGTTCCCTTGCATCTTGTCAACCACTTAACATTCATACATATCAATATCTTTCATAGTTCATGATACCTTTGTAATTTCCTTCTTTTTTCCCTGATTGATGTTTTATTTTACCTTGAACATTTGTTAATCTTGCGCTTTTACCTCATCGTTAGAACTTATGCGCGTCTTTTATATTCCCTTCTGGTGGCTTGTACACAGACTCGCTGTTTTCTTTGCAAGTGGTTTGAAAGCGATAAACCCACAGATACCTCATGATTCAGGGTTTGCAGTTAATTACTCAATATTGTTTATTAGTATAGTATTTCACACAAACTCTGTATTTTGAATTTTATGCGTAACTCCACGTTTGGTTTCATTGTTGAGAAGCTGCTTATTCATTTTGGTTCCAATTTTCTTGGAAAGAAATTCAGTTTTAAATATGTTTTTTTTAAATATACTCTGAGTTCAACTGTTTTACGGCGGATCCATAACGATTTGTATTCTATCTATCAGATGGCCTACAGTGATCAGAACTTCTGAATGATAAAAACTTAATGATAAATAAATAAATATTTTATTCGCATATTAGTAGTTTAATATGAGAGACGCCAGTTTACAGGCATCATCACATTACGGGACCTGGATGGTATGGAAGCGAGGTCATTAAATTAGATTGAAAAAACAACAGAAGATTCCAAAAGTTATGAAATGAATAGGGAAATGCTAATTTTTCAGCATATACAGAGTGTTAGAGTTAAGATCGTTTTTAGTCATACTTTCTTTTTTCACCATTAGTGGTACCAAGGTCACGCAAAGTCCAAATTTCTATTACAAGTAGTCGATATGCTTCATTCTTCTTCGCAATGCCTCGGTGACGCTAAATAAACGTCTATTTTACCATAAATTCTTATACTTATAGCTTCAGAGACCAAAAGAACCCACACTGATGATGTCGAGAATCTGTAATGTTTCCATATAATCATTTAATCCAAGTGAATATCTATTCAAGTGTTACTGTTCACAGCAATATAGATTTACAATATGAGGATTAGATTTTGTAGAGCAAAGCAATAAACATATAAGAACTGCAGACCAATGGCAATGCATTGAAGAATAAGATTCTTTAAAAATAGACAGAAGTAGTACAGTCTACATCGACTGGCACACAGAACCCAAAATGTCTCTTCTTTACGATATCATTGTACCAGTGAATGTGATTGGAATTATGTAAACATTTAAAGCTACAGAAAATCAATAAAATTGATTAGTGATAATAGTTCAAGGATAAGTTTGGTGAAATATGCAAGCGAAGAAATCTGGAATGATGTGTTCCGTGAAAAGATGTATCAGTAACTATGAAAGGGGTAGGGGAAAGTGAAGCATGCCACAGTCACACTTAAACATTCAACACAGCCTTTCTTCAATATAATATGCTCCAATGTCGATTTCCATCTGTTAACAACAGGGTGTTAAACAGTTCAAGCATTACTAAATTCAGATAATAATTGATTTGTTTTCCAAAACTTCATGTACAGACTGTTATATCTTCATACGCCGACGGTTATATATATATATTCCGAATGAATAAAATACACACGCTTAGCTGACACCCACTTAGTACGCAAGAGCCAGTGACTGCAACCCCGGAATAAATACAGGGAAGACCGAAGCTGGATGCACAGCAGTCCGGTCTGTCCTACTGTATTGCTGATGTGAAACATGACCATTCAAGGTGGAAGACATCAAAAGGCTTCAAGTGTTTGACCACACTTGCCTTCGTAGTATACGCCGTATTCTGTGGTATCACCATGTCAGTAATGCACAAGTCAGGAGTAGAGTTTCAGCGAGTAGAGGTAAATCACTTGACCAGGTTATCAACCTTCATCCACTAAGATGTTTGGCTCTGACACGCACTACGTATGCCTAGTCACTGATAGCCTCGTCACACAATGTTGCACGAAGTAGGTTCAGGCTGGAAAACGCCGGACGTGGCCAGACTAAAACATCACACCAATGCATGAAGTCTCTGACTGTTGGTTTCAGCCGTGTATGTGTGGCGATGCACACTGGGTGGTTGGGGTCCACGGAACAAGAGAAACCTGTATGGTTGAACACTTAGGTCATCTCATGGCTCACAACCGATGTCAGTGGCACAGATGTATACACACATTATCCTCATCTTAACAACGCATACCGAATCTCACCATTTTGTCATCTTCCTTTCTTTCTTCTCCTACTCTATATTTCTTTCGACTGAATTTTCTTATCTTCATTTTTCACCTCACTATCTTTCTACTTGATGAACTGATATGAGCTGTGGCAACTCGGAACGTTACGCTGTAATCCCTGGTCCTATGTTGATATTGACTGATTGAAGCTGGATGATGGGTGAGTTTGTTACTCCGAGGATACAATAATCAATCAACCAATCCCATAACACATGAATATGTACACATATGAAAAATGACTTTGTCTGCAATTTGAGACATTTGCATGTTAAGAGTAAAGATTAACCAGTCAGCGATCTACGTTACAATGGGGCCAGAAAATAGACTACTAGTCATACCGTAAAAAACGGTGTGGGAATGATGCATCAAAATGTTCAGATCAATAACAATGTTTTATGCAAAACTGGAGCATCACAACACAAACTTACTTCAAGTTTTGCTGGTAAATCCACATAAGGAGCAGGTCGGTACATTCCAACAGGCAAATCACTCATATGCATCAAAGTGACAAGTTCACTATGATACAATCGACCTTCACCACGACATCTAAAGTAAAAATGAAATGGAATAGTAATCTTTTTACCCCCCCCCCCCCCCCAAAAAAAAAGACTGAATAGGCCCAACTAATTATTTCAATTACCATTTCATAAGGACCAGTCACTCAGGAAGAAATAATTCGGCCTCCTGGGGGATTAATTTTTAGAATCATTTGTCTAAAACTGTAATTCATAAGGCAGTTTGATTAAGCAAAGTCATCGCCTGCATTCCTATGTGTATCAGTACCCATTAAAGTAGGTCGATATGTAGCATTCTGTTCTTCTGAGACCCACAGTCTATATATGTATTAATGGTGAGATAACAAAGTCAGTCAACTCCTTTTCTTAGCATAAAGATTGAATCCACGTGTTACGTGGTTGATTTTACGCATTTTATTTTCAAACACAGTGCCAGACAGTTCGGAGAAAAAAATCCGCAGGTTCGTGTACTATGCAACAATGAGCCTTACATATTACATGATATCTAGTATACTAATTGGTTATTTATTTGTTGAAAATGAGAATTTGATATTGCATAATAGCCATAAGATGGGTTACACTAAATAAATTAGCAATACCTGAGACGATGGAAGTGTGATACACAAGTATGAGAAAAGAACAGGAATAAAAAAAACACAAATGATATACTAGAGAAGTAGTCTAAAGGATACTTCCGAAGAAGTATTCATCACTTTACGCTTAATTTTTGATAACAGAAGAAGCAAGAAAGCCGTACGCCATCGTTTCAAATCGCTGAGTTGCATGATATCTTTCAGAGCCTATCCAGGGAGTCATGGGGAAAGGCACCAACAGATGCTAACTATCCTTAATCATACGTTGTGCACCCACCACCTATACGTTTCTTCTAACGATAGACGGCATGGAAGCCAGTGGGTAGACATAAATGACACACATGCCCAAGCCATCAAAACTAGCTTCAATGTAACTTCAGTCAATGAATCACGATATCCATCAAGTCTAATTACAGGCGTAACCCAGAAATTACTTACATAGTATTTATAATGGGAGCTACTAATCTTACAGCGACAGCAGTAAACGAGCAGGACAGCCCACACCGACGCGTTGTATGCCCGACCTTTTACTAACAACATACTAATGTTACAACAGTGCCAAAACTGACCCAAATTGGGGTATGTTGTTCTGGCTTCCGATATACGGTTGGAAAACTAATCAGCCACGTTCACACCAGGTGTCTTCGTGGCGTTGCCCACGTTTGGTGGAATCATCGTGTAAGCAGTGTTGAGGTCAAGCGAAAGGTAACAGGTAAGAAAGGTCAAAAGTCTTCCTAGTACTCGGTTTACGGAAAACAAGCCTAACATTAAGAAAAAATTGACAAAAAAACCTGTGAAATATTGTTTTACTTGATAACAGCTAGTAAGTGATAACATGTTGGCTGACCCAGCTGACTACCACCAGAACGAGATTTTGAAGTAGGAATATTCCAACCACCAGCATCACGTCCAACACCGACTACAACAAAACCTCCTCCACTAGTCGGATCATTTGGTATATTGGATGTCTTAAGAGAGAGACGAATTGCATTCAATTTCATACGAGCACGTATTGGATCACCACGTGGTGGTGGAAGAAGAACTGGAGAACCTCTGTGTAGTAATGCAAGTTCTTCCATTAAAACTTGACGACGTTGACCTAATTATGTAAAACGGAGATAATTACAGCATAAATCATCTTAACAGTAAGAAATAGCCTCATGATTAAACAATGAATATAATTTTTTGAAAAACTTACATGCTATCAACATTGTTCTACTTGCTTCCACATGAACTATGGAACCAGGACCCATTTCATTCAAAATATTAGAGTCTTCTGGATTCTTTCTTGAAAGGATGCTAACACATTGTTTCAATGCTGCACTAGCCTGTAAAATAACTGCACGCTCAGCTTGTATCAATTTTGGTAGTTCAGCTAATCTCTGAAAACGTCGTGCAGCCTGAGATAATGGTAATACTGGAGATATACGATTTTTAACTGCGTAAATAAATGGGAAAAAAAATATATTGACATAATACGTCTCATTTTTCCTACACTGGTAACAATCTCGACATAAACTTGACAAAAAGTAGGTACTGAGAAATACCCCATACAAAAGAATAGCAACAACGCAGACAACAAAATGTGATACAGAAATAAGACAACAAAAAAAGGAACAGAACATAAATGGGTTGGTGTCTTAAAGATACATCTGAAGAAGCATTCACTACTTTGCGCTTACTTTCGATAATAGAAGAAACAAGAAGGCTGAAACAACATGATAGCCAGTCTCATTTAAATCCTGAACCGTATGCGTTAGTTTGTTTCAAGTCATTGAGTTGCATGATCAGTCAGAATCTATCCAGAGATTTGTGCGGCATCACACTAACAGATGCTGACCTATCCCCTAATACAATTATCCTTCATCACATGTTATGCACCGACCCACTCTGAGCTTCTACCGACAGGTCCCATGGCAGGAGAACTGTGGACAGTATAGAGGCCAGTACGCAGAAATACATGATACACGCCAAAGTCGGTGTTTCAAGGTGACTTCACTCAATGAATGTCGATCTTCATTATACCAAACCACACGCCACCTCACCTTAGAATTACCAGCATCTGCGAACAATACTATAGAGACAATGGTCTCTGGACATTATCAGCTCGGAAAAACCATGTGTAAATTGATACCAATATACAACTGGTCTTGGTAAATCCCTTATAAACTGGTAAACTTGGAAGTACAGAGATGCAACCAAACAGTCATGTACACGACGAACAATCACTGTGTAGGCGCTAGTGAAATGTTAAAGTGACCAAATTTCAGTGGTATGAATATAATTTAGGCTTTTGGTCTATTGGTTAATAGAAGAATTCGTTTCATAACAAAGTACTACAATCCAACAACAACAGCTGAACAAGTTGCTACTTTAATGACTATTTAGATACTCCAGCATTTTATAGGTGATGATACACAGTTCACCCAATTTGTATCAAATCTAATGATACAGAGAAGTGTAGCAAATTTAATTAATATTATCCCATCACTAAAGATTACGATGCTGTAGTGGTTATGAATAAAAATTTTATCCAACACTACTGCTACTCGATTAGTTTTGCAAAAGCTTGCCACTATTTTCGAATTCAGCCTAATACTACTCATATTTATTTAAGTAGGCTTCGTTAATATTATAAATAATCACATTTTATTTGTCTCTACATTCGACTAAATCGGTTTATGAGCAAGGTGCTTTCACGTCATTAATTTACATCAAAGTCAAAACGTTCGAAAACATATCAAATACTACACTCAGCGAGAAATGTTGAGCCGAAATCCCTTTTTATACTTCTAATTGTGAAAATGAACAGAGGAAATGTGCAACGTAACAGAGGGAAGTGCACTAAAAATCGAATACAATACTGTGTACGTTTATAGAAGTCATCATTTTTTAAAACAGAACTTAAATACAACTCAGCAGGCTTGTACAGGTCTCACGAAATAGGCGACAAATTATACTAAAGGGGTAGAGAGTGAATGGGATTTCACCACGAATTAAATCAAAAGAGATGAAGCCGAGATTTATTGTGCTTAAGAATTAATTGCTGAAGTCGCGAAAGCACCACATCTCCCCATGTTAGAAAGATAGAAAGTTAGCATCAATACAATGAGCAATTATGTCTACAATAGCACAGTATGCAAACTTCGAGAGATAAAAAGAAATGAATACTTTGTGTAATTAACGCATACAATTATCCTAATATGTGTTCTTCTCTTCCTCGGTGTCTATTTGATACACTTTTCTGTAGAGTAACTCTGTTGCTTCATCTGCTTATAACTGTTATGTTATCAGTTAGGCATTTCGAGACACCTTAACCTGTAGGTGTATAGACTTTCTCTGAGCATTAGGGAGAAAACGTTGAGCTTTGACGGAGTTGAATAACTCAGGATAAGATGAGGTCATCTGACCTCATAAGATTCTCGTCAGCTGCATACAACCTGGACAAATGAGTAAATTAATCATCATAAGAAATATTCAAATACCCTACATGAAGCGTTTCAATATGCCGATTACCTTTTCAAAGACTAGGAGTTAATTACAATTCAGAATACAAACGAAATTCAGTCAAATCGGATAAAGGTTATGCAAGGCAAAGTGAGAAATGTCCACGAATTAATGAGATAAGACTAGAAGTAAAGGTGATTGCGTAATCACGTGAAGATATTGTGTCAACATAATGACCAGTGGGTTATATGAAACTATCATAACAAATATGGTAATAATAAAGTGCTAATCATTAATACGAATATAGGTATGAATCAGAGAAAAATAAATGTATAGAAAAATATTTTTGGTGAAAAGTTGCTCATTACTAACTAGAGCAATAATAAATTAGTAACTATCTCCTTTTGAACAAATAGTTCTGGCTTAAATTGACGGATAGTAAAGGTTTCAAGAAGTCAAAGTAGGTGAGAAGTCTTTCAGCTAGTCTGAAGGATTTCACTGCGTCTACCTTATATTCCGTATTACATAAATGGGTAGATTCTGCATTGCTGAATGAGGATGGACATTCGACACGTAGACGTTTCGGTATATGTCTTAACAATCTACGAGAAAATCATCTTTTTTTTCTTCCTACGTACTACCTATCAAATGTGTATGTGAAACAATAAACACATTTGGAGTTAACAAGAATTGGATTGTATAATTGTACATGTTATTCTATACATGAGACAAGTCCCACAGTCCAATACGTCTTGGACAGTAGCACTCCTAATTCATCTGTTGACTTTTATCGCAACATTATCGCTCTTGAAAGCTACACCACACTCTGTTCTCTATACTTTTACAGTACATCTCTCCCTGAATTTCATCAGCTGATTATCATTGTGTAGACATTGTCCAATTAGTTGAAATTCTTCTTGCACATTTTCTTGGAAGTATAATCTCCTCACTAAACCTTACTTGTAGCTGATTGGACAGAAGCTATCAAAGTTTAAATACTGACCGCTTCATGTGGTATTGCGGTAAAGATTAATCTCTATTGTAGCGCTTTAAGTGTGTTGAACATAAATCGATAAAATTCCCCCTACTGCTTCTTTTCATATTCCATTGTAAACTTAATAGTATGATGTGCATTGTTGAAATACTGAAGTAGCTTCCTTGCTTGTTGAACTGACCGGATTTATTACCTGAATACCCCCCTGTGCACTGTTTAGTTAGTGAACGAGAAGCAAAAGATTGGTGCTCATTAGAAAATAATGATTCCAAGCAACAGTTAATAATCGTAAAGCCACCTAACAGCATTCTATTCCAGTTTCAGTTAGCAGCTAAAACGACCTATTTTGTAGATGTTGTTGAACATTCATACGCGAATATGACTGAAAGCGATACATCAAAGTACATTTTTGTCTCTTATCTGCCATCTCTTAGTCTGATTAAACCTACGAAAATTCCATGAACTGCTCCATTAAGATTATAGGGAAATAAGAAATCAAAGTGTATATGAATCATATTGAAAAGTTTTAACCCACCATTTCCCTTATCCATGCATCAATCTCACAAGCGTGGAAATAAGGATAATGGTGTTGAGTTAAACGAGATAAGTTAAAACGATCCACAGTAAGTGTACGGCTGTGGTTCAGTGTTCTTAGGCACTTGACTACCAACCATCAAGTTATCTACGTCAACTTGAACAAACCGGTTATAAGATATTGACAGTACAAAGATTTATATACCTGCTGAGCTGCAATACACTGCATTCATGATACACTATAACAACCTCACTGATACCCAAATGAAATATTAAGAATCAGCTTGTTTTCATGACCTCAGTTACAAAAAAAAGTAAGAAAAAAAGAGAATTATTAGACAACACACTATCTATCCAAATCAACATAAGACCAGGCATTACTGCGTAACGATCCAACTTGCCACACCTCATATATCAGTGAATCAAGTAGAAAGGCAGTGAAGTAAAAGATGAAGATAAGGAGAGGATAGTGTGGGGGGGCGTACATCTGCGCTACTGACATCGCTTCTGAGCCATGTGATCACCTAGAGTCAGTCTCCAACCCCTGGTTTCTTTTGCACCGCAGACCCCAACCGGCTAGTCTGACACACACACACACACACACACACTACCAACTATCGATAAATGCGATAAAAATGTGCTACAAAATGATGACTAACTGACTCACTTAGTAAATCGCTATCATCCTTTGCAAAATATGATAGGTAATCATTTTCTTTATCATCGTGATCTTGTGAAGATAGACTGGTCAACTCTTGGTTATCGTCATTTGAAGTAAGAGTATTCAAAATATCTGATAATTCTGAATTGTTATCTATGAAAGAAATTAAAAACGTAAACTGCCTTAGTTAGAATTAAATCATATAACTCATTATCATTGTATATGATCCGCCAAAAAACAGGATCAATGATATCATCCTGTTGCAGAATGCTGCTAAGCAGATAAATCGAAAGAGGAGGAAAAGTTGAAGCATGTAAGTTAATGTATAGTTGAAATTTAATTTATTTCAACCGCTGGCGATTTTTAATCCTCTACGATTGTTTCACATATTAGATTTGTTTATTTGATTTATAACACATAGTAAGTCGTACAGTATTATTTACTTGGTGTTTCGAGTATAAATTATTACCCCTCATAATCATATCAATGTAATCACAGTCCACTTTTGATATCTGATTTTTATTGTCCTGTCACCCACCTCACATTCTTTCTTATCAATAGTAAAGTTCTCCACACTTTTGGCATACGTGTTGCATCATTCCCATCACGTCATGGGTGTTGGTTGATTCGATGAACAAAGCGTTAGTAATCAACCACTTTCTCTCCCCCCCCCTCTCTCTCTCTACATCTAATTGTATTGAACTTCAACCACAAAGTCGTTTCATCCCACTCATCTCATTCTGTCGTCGCACATGTGTGTGTGTGCACACATACATTGCAATACACCAGTCACCTTAAAAGTTATTCATCTTATTCACATCTCTCACTCTCTGTCTGTCTATCTCTTGTCTATCATTTCACATTTTCACCTAAATTACTATGTTCCTTCCACCATTCCAACTCACACCGTCCACCTACTGTCACCTATACACTTCACCTGACTGACTCACTCACACTCATCACATAGAATTTCCTAGATTACATCATTTTGCTCAATTCAATCTATCGCATTCTTAACCCAGTCGACACAGCTTATCTCTCAGTAAGTTTGTAGGTTCAAATACAACCACAATTCCAGCTTTGTTGACGAACCTATGTAAACTTTCTGATGTACCTTCCTTATCCTTATATGCTGACAAAATAGAGGCTTTGAACTTGTTTCTACTCCTCTTGTCGCTATTATTCATATTCATACTACTGTTATCATGTTGTTTCTTACGTTACGCTTTATAGTCTTTCCTAACCTCTGCTATCTAGTGTAACAAGAATGTGGAAGTGTTGGGAAACCCCCTTACTGCTGCTGAACACGCATATGCACCAATACCAAGCAGATAAATCATAGGGGGTGGGGAAGTTAAGCAGTATCAGTCAATTTATGTCAACAATTGGGGATGTTCAGTCCTCTTAGATTTCCTAAATATCATCTCACAACCGTATCCTGATGCTAAGCTGTTCCGTTTCTATAGAACCATTGAATCCTTAATGTCATCAAAAGTTGAAAGGTTCCCTTACCACTTTACTTCTTCCAATGGTAATGTTCAAGTTTACATGTACAAGCAGCGGTAACCTCACAAGGAGAACACAACGAAAGTCATACCTTATCTCCTGTGAACATGTGGCAAAAGACTTAACGCTTCACGGCAACAAATCACTTTAGCGATACAATCACCCAGGATATAATCGACATAGGACACACAAGGTAAATACTTTGAAATATCGTTCCTGAGGTCATAGCTAGCAGACAATTGAAACATGCACCATCCGTCTCTTTCTATGTTCTGATAACTTAACTCTTCTCCCACTCCTCTTATTCGATGACATAACCTTTTAGCTGGAGATTTCCCCTAGTTGATCACTTTTCTACCAACTGACTTTAATTCGTTACATTGTTCTTACGCAACCTGTTCATCAATTATCATTTGGAATTACATACTTCTTAATCATTTCGAGTAATATTTTGTTTAAAAATCAATACACTTTGGTACATTCCATATTTTCTTCGATTCCTGTGTTGAATCACACATACACAGCTGGAATTTAATGTACGAGAAAATCTTTCTCAATATGGTAAAGCACAATTCCATATTAGATGTCTTACTTGATAGAGCATACAGTGACACAGTTTAATTTAGTGGAAGACGTTTCAAGCAGAATTTATTCTCCACATTCATTTCAAAGTAATCATACTACTTACAAATTTCCTTTATATACACCGACAGTTCTTAATTCGTTCGTTTAAATGGTAGTAAAACATTCTAGACATCTACATTACGTGATGACGAGTTATTCCGGTTACATGTGTTAGGCGCTGGTTGATTCAATGAACAAAGATTCTGTCATCAATCTCTTCCTCCATCTAGCTACTATACTGGATCTTAGAATTGTCACCCTATCACACCTATCCTATGGTGTGATTATACGTCATTGGATGCAGACCGATAGGTGTGTTTTTCTCTAAATTATTTATCTAATTAGGGTCTACCATTGTATGCATTCTCTTCGTCTGAATGACCAACATCGGCTGCTTTGACCTACATACTTGAACCCCACAATCATCATTACATGGTATTTGATAGATAAGGTTGTTTTTCTCAATTGGCTCTACTGGATCTTTTCACCTAAAAGCTTTCTCTCTCAGTGAGTTTGTGGGTTCAAATACCACCCTTGTTCCAGCACTGTTGAGAATTCTACATAGGCTTTCCAATGTGCCTTCTTTATGTGACAATATCACAGAGGATTTTAATTCCCTCTTAGGTATATTCCAATCACCACCCTCAACATTACCACTTCTCCTTACAAACCTTTTGAAATAAGTTCTGGAGGGTAGTTATTAAGATGTAGTGTCTCTTTAATCTGTTTCATCTCCTTGTTTACGTTTCCTGACTTTCTAGTCAAACTCCTAACCCGATTAATACGACATTTCATCAAGCTTGCTTTAACAGATATGGGGTGAGATGATGTGAAATCTAAGTATCGATTCGAATGTGTTGGTTCCCTATAAACACTGATATCTAAGCTTCCATCTCTCCCCTTGATTTCGCAATCCAACATAGGTAATTCTTCTTCTTCATCAGGGAATTGGATTGTACCTACTACCCATGTTGGAGTGCAAAAAAACTCTGGATGTGTTCTGACTACAACACAGTAAAAATGTGTCATTTAGGTATCGCCACTATTTTTTGGAGGTGGGTTAGGATGTTCCCAACTTTCCATAAATGTGTCCTACTACGATCTAGGATATTAGAGATCCCATCCCTAAATCCTTCTGTTCGTATATATGTTTTTTCCGTAGTTGGACACAATCTAATCTCTAACATAATGACAGTATATTTCTTTATACATGTAACATTCGAATTTACCTTCAGAATCCATTTCGAGTAAATCTCTTTTATGCTTTTCCTGTTCTAGTAAGTATTCATACTGACTAGACAATTCTGAAGATGTTGGACAGTCACTATCACGCCAATTGGAATCATTTTCACTATCATCTGTAGTAGTAGTATTAGTAGTAGTAGAGTTGATCGTCTTTTGAAAGGTAACTGATTTCTGTCTTGGTATATGAAGATAAGTATCCAGTGAACTTTCTGACAGTGATGATCGACGTTTTAACCCCATCTTTGGTCGTGAGTAATAGGAATGAGTATTAGCTGTAATAGTAGTAATGTACAAAGTGTGGTCATTTCATGGACAAAATGATAATCAGTATTAATAAATGAAATTAATGAGTATTTTTTAATTGTAATCAATTGATAAGTTAAAAACTAGATGAAATCTGAGCTTCAGTCATAGATGAATCTTATGGGATCTGAACTTCTCACAATAGTAGAGTATTTTACTACACAACACGGTTTGGTTCACTTTTCTGTATATGAACTGCAAAGTAGGTACATCACCTTATTGAAGGCTCTCTACTTGAATACTTGTGGGCATGTTAGAGCCAATGGTGAGATGTCCAAGGAGCTATGCTCATCGAGCGCTGTCCGTCAAGACTGCCCAGTGTCTCCATTCTTATTCAATTTTATCATAGATATTCTTATGGAGGTCTCTCTCTCGTCACCAGGTTACACAGACATTGACCTAATCACAGGAGAATTTTCGTTAGACCTATATAATTTGCAGATGACATAGTCCTGTTAGGCGAAGACGCTGACAAAATGCAGAGTCTTCAGGAAAACACTTTGAGTGGCAATTTAAGAATGTTTAGGATACGGTTCTCACCTCTGAAATGCAAACTGCTGCTCCAGGATTGGTCTTCATCGGTGCCACGGCTAGCAATAGAGAGTGAAGTGGTTGAGTGGGTGGACCACTACTCAACAAAATGAGTAGTTAGAAACTTCTTATGATTATTTGTAGATTTCGCTGGTCAATCAGTCTTATAATTTTCCAGGTGTTCGAATGAACCAATCAGGGTTAAAGATCAATGCATGCCTTTTGAAGATTAATATTATCCAGTAACGTATATTTCTGGAACCTCGCCTGGTTAACTAGTTTACTAGTTACTAGCCGGTCCTAAGCCCGGGTAAAGAGGGAAGGTTGGGCATAGGGCTAGCAACCCTACCCCGTAAAACAAATCTAACCGCTAAAGAAACTTCAAAGCACAAACAAAATATAAAAAATGAAAACAAACTTATTCCCCGCTGGAATCGGAGAGGCGAAATGACGCCAGTTGGTGAAAGCCTTCGGGAAGCCAATTGGCCGATGTGTCTTCTCTCGATGAAAGCGAAAGTAAACGTGGGGACATGGAATGTCCGCACGATGTTTGAACCCAGTAAGGCAGCCCAGATTGCAAAGGAGATGAGAAGGTATAACATCGAAGTGCTTGGGATTTGCGAAAGCAGATGGAATGGGAGTGGACTCTCCAAACTGTCAACGGGAGAATCAATAATCTACTCCGGTCACCCAGACGCCAACCACGAGCACACTGAGGGAGTGGCTATCATGATGTCCTCAAGAGCATCGAAGGCTCTCATGCAGTGGGAACCAATCTCCTCCAGGATCATGACAGCAAGATTCAACTCAAAAGGAAGAAAGGTCACAATCATACAATGTTATGCACCTACAAATAATGCAGAGCAAGAGAAAAAGGAGGAATTCTACAGACAACTTCAATCAACACTGGACAAGACGTCAGTTGGCGATATCAAAATTCTAATGGGCGACATGAATGCCAAACTGGGAGGGGACAACACGGGAAGAGAACTAACCATGGGTCGAGAGGCGCTAGGTGAAATGAATGAGAATGGAGAATTGTTTGCAGAATTCTGTGCATTCAACGATTTGGTGATTGGAGGCAGTGTGTTCAGGCACAAGGATATCCACAAAGCGACATGGATTTCACCAGATGGACACACTAAAAACCAAATCGACTTTATCTCAATCTCAAGAAAATGGAGACGCAGTCTACTTAACACAAGGTCAAGAAGAGGAGCAGATGTAGGTTCAGACCACTATCTAGTGCAAGGAACCTTCCAAATCAAGTTAAAAGCCTTCAAGGAAGCTGGTGATAGACCTCAATTCAAGTACAACACTCGGAAACTGAAGGATGAAACTACAAAGGAGATCTTCAAAGCAGCCATCAAGACAAAATGGGAGACGTCGAGGGACATCCCTGAAGAAACCTGTGTAGAAGAACACTGGAAGTCTTTGAAAGCTATGTGGAAAGAAACCTGCACAACAGTATTAGGAAGGAAGAAGAAAGAAGACAAGGAATGGATCTCGACGGATACCTGGAAGCTGATAGAGGAGAGGAGGATGGTGAAGCAGAAGATAAACCAGTGCAAGGATGCTCAACGACAAGAGGAACTGAGCACAATGTATAAAACACTGGATAAAGAAGTGAAGAAGAGTGCACGCAAAGACAAAAGACACTTCTACGACACACTGGCAAGTGAAGCAGAACAGGCTGCAGGTAAGAGAGACCTGACGACATTGTATCAAATAACCAGGTTGCTATCAGGGAAGAGACCAACACAGATGAAACCAATAAAAGATGAAGAAGGAAATTTAATTACAAAAGAAGAGAAACAGAGGAAACGATGGGCCGACCACTTCAAGAAGCTCTTGAATCGACCACCACCTGCACTTCGTCCAGAAATACCACCTGCAGCCGCTGAATTACAAGTGAACATAAATCCCCCAACGAAAATGGAAGTCCTGAACGCCATAAAGCTACTGAAATGCGGGAAAGCAGCAGGACCAGATGGAATACCGCCAGAAGCACTGAGAACAGATGCAGAGACAACAGCGGACATGCTCACACCACTATTGCAGAAGGTGTGGAAGGAAGAGAAGGTACCTGACGATTGGAAGAAGGGTTACCTTGTCAAACTGCCGAAGAAGGGAGACCTCAGTGCTTGCAAGAACTGGCGCGGAATCACTCTCCTATCCACCCCAAGTAAAATATTAAGCCGCATCATCCTGGAGAGGCTTAAAGACGCACTGGATTCAAAACTGCGACCGGAACAGGCAGGCTTCAGGAAGTACAAATCATGTGCTGACCAAATTGCAACGCTTCGTATCATCATAGAACAGAGCGTAGAATGGCAATCAGCTCTATACCTCAACTTCATCGACTTTGAGAAGGCCTTTGACAGCGTCGACCGAGAAGTAATTTGGAAACTGCTTCAATACTACGGAGTACCGCAAACCTTTATCCGCCTCATTCAACAACTATATGAAGATGCCACATGCCAAGTAATCCACAATGGGAAGCTCAGTGATGCCTTTGAAGTGAAGACAGGAGTGAAACAAGGTTGCCTACTATCCCCCATGATATTCCTAATTGTGGTGGACTGGATCATGCAGCAAACAGTAGGCAGCGAGAAGAGGGGGATACACTGGACGACGGAAAAGAACCTAGAAGACTTGGATTTCGCCGATGACTTATGCCTAATGTCACATAAACTTGAAGATCTGCAGGCAAAAACTAACAAGTTGACAGAGGAGGCAGCTAAGACGGGACTTCAGGTGAATATAGAGAAGACAGAAGTGATGAAGATACCGCACCACCACCATCATCAACAACAACAACAAACTCCAATCACCGTCAACGGGAGAAACTTGAAGGAAGTAACCTCCTTCACTTATCTAGGAAGCACTGTTTCAACTACAGGCGGGACGGACGAGGACGTCAAAGTCAGAATCGGAAAAGCAAGACAGGCGTTCATTAGCCTGAAACCAGTGTGGAGATCTTCTGCACTCAGCATGCGGAACAAGATACGGATTTTCAACACCAACGTCAAGTCAGTGCTCTTGTATGGCTCAGAGACTTGGCGCGTCACGAAAGGCATTTCCAATAAACTACAGACATTCATCAACAACTGCTTACGCTCGCTGCTGAAGATCAGATGGCCAGAAAAAATAAGCAACAAGGAACTCTGGGAACGAACCAACCAAGAACCTATCACGCAACAAATATGCAGGAAGAAGTGGAGATGGATTGGGCATACACTGAGAAGGCCGACTGAGGACATCACGCGTCAGGCCCTCGAGTGGAATCCCCATGGGAAGCGACGAGTTGGACGTCCGAGGGTGACATGGAGGAGGTCGTGCGAGGAGGAAATGAGAGCTTCTGGGCTGTCGTGGAACCAGGTTCAAAAGATCTCAGAGAACAGAGGTCACTGGAGGCGTGCTACTGAAGCCCTATGTTCCACTAGGAACCCAAGGGACTAATAATATATAAAAAAACGTATATTTCTGAAGAGGTTTCACAGCTTTCAGCAAAACTCCACATAGATCGATGCATAACCAGTATGAATGTGTCAGACATTCTGAATATTTACAGAATCGCCCAATTGAATGGTGAACATACAACTTTCAAGTTGGAGACAATCGATAAGATTACTTTCTACACTTTGAAATAGTGGAGAATATTTGTAGCTCAGGTGGATGGTCTTGGTTGTATTGTGTTCTCTCAGCTGGATTGTTTAATCGTGAAGCTTTCATCCTCTTTCTACACAGTGACATCATCAGCACTAACTTCAGTATGAAGTGAGCTGTCAATATCTCTCCGTCATTGATTTAGTGGCTTGCTCTGGCGATATGGTCTGTGATTGGTTGTATCCTTCGATTGCTGTGTCACTGATTGTATAGACTTTCCTGTTGGCTGTTCATCTGCTTCACCTCTAACCATTCTGTGGTTTATCACTTTTCTGATTGGTTGGCAGATAGGGTCTATGTGTATACATCTATTGATTGCTGGCTGACCTGAATGCCAAGCTTCTTGGGATTCTCTGACATTCTTTGTCACCTCTGTCCAAAATTCCTACATTGTCAAAATTGAATTCATGTCCATAGTTGTTATCCACGTGCATTGAAATGGTTGATGAAATGTCGTGGCGTTTAATAGCCGATTGGTGCTCATGTAGACGATGGCAAAGAGGGTGGCCACTTTGTCCAATGTAGTGTTGAATACAGTTATTCCAGTTGATTTTGTAAATGATATTCCATTTGTCTTCTTTGCTTGTTGCATCCTTCGGTCTGCATAATAGTGTTTGGAGGGAATTTGTTGGTTTATGAGACATACCAATTCCAAGTGGTCCTAGCAATCTAGACATGATTTCTGATATATTCTTAATGTATGGTAGGACGATGCATTTGTTGATTTCTGTCGATGACTTTGTAGTTGATGATGCACGGGATAGGCATCTCCTGATAACGTTTCGTGTGTAGCTGTTCTTCTTTAGGGTGGACATCAAGTAATTTTCTTCGTTTCTCCGTGAAGTTGTTGTGCTGCAGTGTGTTCTCGCTCTTTTGAATAGAGTATGCACTCAACTAATTTTGTGTGTTGTTGGGTTGTTGCTATTGTAGTTGACGATTTGGTCAGTGTGTGTTGGTTTCCTGTACACTTGGGTTTCCAGCTTTCCGACATTTGTCCTGCTGACTAAAACATCCAGGAATGGTAGTTGGTTGTTTGACTCTTTCTCCATTGTGAATTTAATGTCATTGAAAACGTTGTTGATCAAACTGTGGGTGTTTTCCATATCATCTTTTTTAATGATGACAGAAGTGTCGTTCACATAGCGAATCCAGATTTTTGGTTTGATCACAGATAGGATGATGGCTTCCAGTCTCTGCATCACTGCTTCTGCATTTAATCCGCATATTGGTGATCCCATTGGAGTTCCTTTCTTCTGTTTGTATATCTTGCTGTCGAATTCTACACTAAAAGCTAACGCTGAACTTAAACATGCGACATTATGGGAACTGTTGAGAGAATCTATAAGGTAGACGATAACGCAAATTAGCCTCATAGATATAGTAAGATCACGTTGATAATTACAACTGAGTCTTTGATGCATGTCTAACCAGTGCACATGACTGTATGACCTTTGTTAGTAAAACTTTTCGGCCTATTCCCACTAAAACAGGAATCAAAAGATAAGCGCTCCAAAGTAAAGTTGTCAGCTTGGTTTCAGGCAATGTCAAACACTTGCCAAGGGAGAAGTAGGAAGGGGGGGACAAATACAACAACTAACCCAATAGGGTATTAAAATTAGGAAACAGGAAGTTTTCTTACCAAGATTAGAATCAACTATGTCACTTCCTGTTTGTTCTCATCTTTCTTAATCTCAAACACTATTTATTTGTTAATACTTCAAACTCAACAAATAATGATAATTAATATCCACTACACAAGAGGTGGCTCTTGTGCCTCAGTGACCTAGTGGATAACGTTTCGCCGTTTGAAGCGATGGGTGTAGTGATTTGTGTCTCAGTGAAAACACCGTCACTCACTGAGATGTAGCAGGTACATTCAGTTGGCGAATCCCAGACAGGACGAAACGCGCGTCCTGGATTCCATTGTGTTTGTAGGCTTGATACAACACACGATAGGAATGCTTTATATGTACTGGTAAGAAGCGAATGACTGTCTTATGACTTTCGCTTTGACATCCTATGAACTGCACATTTCTAATTGTATGGTCTTTATTCACATTCATAGTATAAGGTATAAGGTGTATTCTACTTTTTCTAACCCCGGCATAGCATACTAGAACAAATAAGAAAAACAAATATTTTGTGTATTATTCCTCAATGTTTCCATTTTGCTAGGAAGATCGAGTGATTTTTAAAGGCCAGCCCAAGCAACTACTGGAAACAACCAACTGCACTTCGTTATTTTATGAAAATCTGACTTTCCAACAGAAATGAAGAAAGTCTTATCGACCATTTCGACTGTTGCTAGGGTGGCCTTTAGGGTCGCTCCTTGCCAAGACAGGACTGATCTTAAAGACCATCTAGTAACTTCAGAATTAACCAATCAGGATTCACTATTCCGGTCAGAAGGATAGCTTTAGTAAAATGAACAAAAGCAATTGGTTATCGAGTGACTTTAAACGTTAATCTAGCAACGATGAAAATAACCAGTTCGGTTTCTGCATATTCGCTGGAAAGGGAGATTTTCATAAAATATAGAGGTTTAATTGTTTATTTCTATCGTTGCTAGGGTGGCGTCTAAGGCCACTTAGAACGAGCCATTAGAATTCTCCATTTTAGGAAAACCTAGAGTGACTTTAATACCACTCTAGCAACTGCTGAAATGATTAATCAGGCTTCGATATTTCACCTGGGAAAGTACTTTTCTATGAAATAAAGGAATGTAATTGGTCAAAGACAGGTTCTGAAAGACAGCAAGAACAACCTTCATTAGTCTGAAATAATCAGTGTGGAAATCTACTACACTCCACTGAACTGAACTCAGCATAAAGCGTGAACAACATCCGGATTTTCAACACTAATTCAGTCAAGTCAGTCAGTGCTTCCATATGATGGTTGAGAGACTTAGCGTGTTACGAAAATCATTTCCAACAAACTACAAACATACATGAACAGCTGCCTAAGCTCATTAATTGAAGATCAAATAGATGGTCAGAAAGAATAAGCAACAAGAGACTCCGACTGGCTATCAACGAACCAACCAAGAACCCATCGTCTAACAAATATGCAGAAGGCAGTGGAGATAGATTGGATTAGATTGGACATGGACTGAGAAAACGGATTTGAGACTTTACGCATCAGGCGAGATCAGACGAGACTCTCAAGTGGAACCTTAAGGAGAAATGACTGGTTGGGTGTCTGAGGCGAGGATGACATGGAGGGGATGATGTGAGGAGGAAATGAAAGCTTGTGGGGAGTTGTGGAGCCAGGTTGAAAAGACTGGAGAGAAGAGAGTGAAATGGCGATGTGGTAGTGAAGCCGTATGTTCCACTAGGAACCTAAGGGACAAATTGTAATGATAAGGATAGCAAGGTAAATATAGATAGATACACAATAATGCCTCGTGTATGGTTGAAGGCTTAGCTCTGACAAAGACGAAATTATGGCGATTAACGCATTGCACTCGATTTATGACTATCTTGAAAATTCAGACGGTGTAGTCATGAAAAAGAACGATGAATTGATCATATCTCATATAATTTAATCAAATAAGCCCGTTGTTTAAATATCACAAATCAAACTGATAATCGTATAGATAAAATTTGTACGTACTCTGATCAACAATGGAATAGATGGTTTGGAAAAGCTTGATCACCGAGTTAATATAATTCATCGTATAAGGTGTATTTTTATTTGTGTAGCCCCGGGCGTAGTGTATTAAGAACAACTGCTAAATTAACCAATCAAACATCAGAACATCGTAGTAGTTACTAGGGTGGTCCTCAAAGTCACTCTTAGGTCTTTAGGATAATATTCAAGTTTTGATGCAAAAGGTGACCTTGATTGATCATATCTAATTAAGTACATCGTGATATCGAACAGAGATCAATATAAGGTTGTAGGTGAGTGAATCAGCAAATCGATAGTCAGTGACACTTTTTCTAGCTGTGCAAGTAAGTTGGAACAAAAATAGGGTGGGCAAATTTAGTTCGACTACGAAACGTACAACAGAGTTGTCACTCATCGGGGAGGGAGAAAGAATACATTGAATGAGTTTTAAGGCGACCCTAGCAACGACTTAAACGACCAATTACACTTCTTTATTTCGATTGGAAAGGTAGGTTTCGGGTGGCCTTGATGACCACGCCCTAGCAGCTGATGAGATAGCCAATTATTATTTTATTTATTTGTCCCTTAGGTTCCTAGTGGAACATACGGCTTCACTACCACATCGCCATTTCACTCTCTTCTCTCCAGTCTTTTCAACCTGGCTCCACAACTCCCCACAAGCTTTCATTTCCTCCTCACATCATCCCCTCCATGTCATCCTCGCCTCAGACACCCAACCAGTCATTTCTCCTTAAGGTTCCACTTGAGAGTCTCGTCTGATCTCGCCTGATGCGTAAAGTCTCAAATCCGTTTTCTCAGTCCATGTCCAATCTAATCCAATCTATCTCCACTGCCTTCTGCATATTTGTTAGACGATGGGTTCTTGGTTGGTTCGTTGATAGCCAGTCGGAGTCTCTTGTTGCTTATTCTTTCTGACCATCTATTTGATCTTCAATTAATGAGCTTAGGCAGCTGTTCATGTATGTTTGTAGTTTGTTGGAAATGATTTTCGTAACACGCTAAGTCTCTCAACCATCATATGGAAGCACTGACTGACTTGACTGAATTAGTGTTGAAAATCCGGATGTTGTTCACGCTTTATGCTGAGTTCAGTTCAGTGGAGTGTAGTAGATTTCCACACTGATTATTTCAGACTAATGAAGGTTGTTCTTGCTGTCTTTCCGAACCTGTCTTTGACGTCCTCATCTGTGCCGTCACCCATAGTTGAAACGATGCTGCTTAGGTAGGTGGGTAGGTGAAAGAGACAACTTCTTTTACATTTCATCCTGTTCATGGTGCTTGTTGTTGTTGGTTGGGTATCTTGAATCACCCCGAGCCTGCTACTAATGGATCATTATTTTCTAGGAGAATAAGAAACTGAAGTAAACTAAGAGTAGTGTAGATGGAATCTATGAGTGAAAATTAAGATAAAGCATAATGATACACACACACACACACACAGAGTAAATATTTGATGTATGTAAAGATTCAATCTTGAGGTTTGCGGAGATTTATTTAGTGATTTCAGGTTGGTATTCATCCTGGACTGATATCAGTTGGAGAAACATTGAAAACCTGGATGCATTGGACACTTGCTACGTCCTAGTATGGGACTCCTCAGCAGTGCCCACCCATGATCCTGCTGCTAGGTATCGAACTCAGGACCTTCAGATTTTGCAGCCAGTACGTTACCATTGACCTACTGGATTTTTTTGGCGGTTAGATGTGTACAACTGATGTATACACTTCTTGACTGTCCCTACATAAGAATTTTAAACCAGTTGGCTAAAATTTCACTTAAACGCCTTACATAAACATGTACAAGGTTAGCGTCGTTTTGCAAGATAATAAATGAATGATTAAATAAATAATTTACTTTGATTTGAAAACATAGTTGATTGAGTAGATTCTTCTATTGTTTTCTTGGTTGAATGTGTTAAACTAGGACTAGGTATGCTTGATGACTGCTCATCCTCGATCAAAGTATCAGGTAAATTGATTTCAGTTGAGAATTCGGTATCCTAACATAAACACACAAAAGAAAACAATGATGTTTCCTCTTGCAAATCAAATTATATCAATGTATAACTCAGTTAATATGAATTCCAGTAGTTAATTCGTTTCTCTTTTGTTCTCGTTTACCCTATGGGATGTTCCCTTCGTATTCCCTTTGAAAGGGGGGGGATTAACTATTCATTTGTCATTGTAGCACATATAACTGTGAATAAGAAATCTAAGCCTACTCCGCTAGTTTCGGACATTTGTATTCCTTTAGTATGAACTTATAGGTGCTGCATATTGCAAGTGTGCCAGTCATGAAAGCAGCCAAGTAACCAAGTCACATTCTATGTGACATAACGTTTCACGTTATGTATTACAATAGGGATATACGACCGTGAAATCTGCAGCGGAGACGCGCAATTCTTTCCCAACATTGCAGCAATTTAAATGGCCACCTGAGAAGTTACGTATTCGAGCCTCAAGACGACCAGATAGTAGAAAAGATGTCCTGTAATTCTGTAATCCTGTCCTGTCACTGAGAAATTGAAGAGCCTTGGACGATGCAGTTACTGGTCATCATCAAAGCCTTTCGTAGAGGTGTGAGTTACTGGAAAACTGCCACAGAGTCCATGTTTACTGATCAAACTGACACCTTCACTCATTAAGCCCTGTACATTAGGAATCAAAGGATAAGTATTCGTCCAACCAGATCCTATTTGTCTTCACCACTAAGAATTAAACTCAACAAGCAAAGCTTAGACTTCAAAATTCCCGACGAAATCTTCAGTCCTAGGTGAATTCGATTAGCAAGACTAACTGTAGGAGTATTACTTGAAAATTCACAAGAATACACCTTTTGGGTTCGAGAATGATCAGATCCATCAAAGAAATGGTTTCCAAATGCAAATTTTTGATCTAGGATTGGTCTTCAGCGGTACCACGGCTAACAACAAAGAGTGAAGTGGTTGAGTGTGCAGACCACTTCACTTACCTAGGAAGTATAATCAGCCCTGCCCTGATGGCTCAGTGGCCGATGAAATCTCTGCACAAATACAAAAGGCCCGGTTGGCTTTTGCCAATTTACGCCACCCATGGCCCCACCGTGATATCCATTTGTCTACTAAGGGTCGCATGTACTGCACAGTAGTCCGGTCTGTTCTACTGTATTACTGATGTGAAACATGCCCATTCAAGGTGGAAGACATCAAAAGGCTTCAAGTGTTTGACCACACTTGCCTTCGTAGTATACGCCGTATTCTGTGGTATCACCATGTCAGTAATGCACAAGTCAGGAGTAGAGTTTCAGCGAGTAGAGGTAAATCACTTGACCAGGTTATCAACCTTCATCCACTAAGATGTTTGGCTCTGACACGCACTACGTATGCCTAGTCACTGATAGCCTCGTCACACAATGTTGGACCAAGTAGGTTTAGGCTGGAAAAACGCCCGACGTGGCCAGACTAAAACATCACACCAATGCATGAAGTCTCTGACTGTTGGTTTCAGCCGTGTATGTGTGGCGATGCACACTGGGTGGTTGGGGTCCACGGAACAAGAGAAACCTGTAGTGGTTGAACACTCTAGGTCATCTCATGACTCACAACCGATGTCAGTGGCACAGATGTATACACACATTATCCTCATCTTAATAACGCTATACCGAATCTCACCATTTTGTCATTCTTCCTTCCTTTCTTCTCCTACTCTATATTTCTTTTGACTGAATTTTCTTATCTTCATTTTTCACCTCACTATCTTTCTACTTGATGAACTGATATGAGCTGTGGCAACTCGGAACGTTACGCTGTAATGCTTGGTCCTATGTTGATGATGATGAAAGAAATAGTTAGGTATCTTCAAGTCTGCGTTAGTTAAATCTGTCTGATGAGTAGTCACCTTTCCTAAAGATTGGTGAGCAGTAGATGTAATAACAGATTTGTCATAGTGTTGTTCCAAATCCGTAACGACTGACAACTTATCCTCATCGATTTCTGTGCAAATATGCGGTGGCGGGATCAAAGAAATGACAGAAACATCTGTAATTCTAATAATTTCTTCATTAACACCATTTTTAGTTAACAATGAAAATGTATTCAGATCAAGATGTCTATTGTGGCCACTTAGTGAAGACCCCATAGTTTTCTTTACATTCGGGTTCGGTACTTTTATAACAGTCATTCAATGACACCCAATACATAACTAAGCCATTATTTTCATGTCACTACCAAGAAAAGGAAACCTGATGACTTTCAAGTTTAAGTGAAGAAAAACAAATGTATGCATCCTGTCAAATATCTTTTTGAGTTGACTTTTATTGAGTGAATTTATTAATTCGAATCCCGCAGTTAGAAAGTATTATTAGACCCCGAAAAACACGTAGTTGTTGGCTAACATACCTACTCATCACATTACAATCATAATGGAACTGATGCAGGTAGAAAATATTAAAAAAAACGAACTGAATGAACTCTAATAGTAAGCAGATCCTATTTATTATCCTCTCAGTCAAGTGTTTCTTGTTACCAAGGGAAGACAGAAGGTATTCCCATCACTGATATTAGTTAGAGAGATAGACATTATTTTTTATTCCTTCTTAAAAGTTTTTTCTTCGTATACAACTGTGCTTCTAGCATTACTTTCTTGAGGTGAAGGGTACTAGGCAAGACAGGTAAGTTGACTGATAAGGTCGTGAAACTTAGTCGACTGAGGTGACTCAGACATGTACTGCACATGTCGAGCCACTGCCTACTTTGATATGGCGTGCTAAGGGAAGTTGGATTAGGTTGGAAAACGGTTCAGGGGTGGTCAGACTAAGACGTGGCACCAATTCATGAGATTCTTGACTGTTCGTTTGAGTCATGTTCCTAGTAGACAACCTGGCTAGGGTCCGTGAGTGGTTAGGAACTCTTAATGACGGCTAAAAATCGGTCACAAAGGCGCAGATGTATTCACTTTTTGACGTCTTTTAAAGCTTGAATATATTCGCACTAACCTTCATCTTCAAACAGTTTATTCTCTTACACAACTTTGTCTACTTTGATACCACTCTTATTCTGTCCACCAGTTCTTTGTATGCTGCTAAGAAGGGTGGCAAGTTGAACCGATGAACTTGTGTGCGGACAGAGAAAAGCCGTACCGCCGGTAGCAAGGACTGTACCGTTTTTGGAGCCAACGTTTGTAACAACTTACTGCTATCGCACTACTTCCAGCTGCTAGCAGTACAACTTCACGCTCAGACCTTTATTGCAGTGTAGTAATTAACACTACAATGGTGAGCGCGTTTTGTCCTACTACTATCTGACAGACTTTTTTGGCATGGTAGGACCTCGTGGGAACAAACGTTCCACCAGTATAGCTCTCTGAGTCATTGTGATCTACAAGCTCGACCACTGAGTCAAGGTAACAGATATCAGATGGGTGGTTGTTTAAAGAAAATAAGATGTTAACACACACTATCAAACTAGTGTCAGTGTCAGTACAACATAGACCATAGCTTTCTTGGAAAGTAACGTTCATGCGCGAATTTAACCCAGTCTCATATGGAAACCAAGTGAATAGATAATCATTCATAGGCAAAACGCAATATACACGTTTTTAAATATTACAGATGCCTTTATAGGCATCTGGAGACTGTAATTTACCAGGAGTCAACACAAAGACAAAATATCGTAAAGAAGGATTTGAGTAATATGAATGAAAAACTTACATAGCATATTGTCGTGTGCGAATCCATAACTGTAACCGTGGTATCCTCATCACACAATTCTGCAGTTTCAGATGCAGCCAAGTGACCATTTTTAGGGGATGTAGAAGGCGGTGAATCAGCCAAAGGATTTTCAGTTGTCAACACTTTTGGAGGCGATGGTGGTGGTGATGGAAATGAGAGTTCCTCCTCCTTTAAAAATAAAAGCATTGATTTCACCTCTTATTGGAGAATAAATAAAAAACAGGTACAGTTTTGATGCTATACTACACTATGCTCGTTGCGTAAGGAGTGGCTATCATGACCTGGTGAAAAACGCACTGGCATGTGAAGCGATCGGTCCTGAGTTCCAGGCAGGTGTATCCAACTACCAAGCCCCAAACAAAATGAAAAGTGCGTTTTTGATTCCACTGCTGGCCATTATTCATTATCAATGTCAAAAAGGGTACGCTGCCGTATCCCAAGAGGAATTGCTAAGTTTTAGTGTTTGGGGTCCTTGAATCCCGTTAAAGTTTCGACTACTCTTTGAAGCTGAAAACACTTGTTAACTGATACAAGAGTGAAAGATATAGCCTCTTAGTCAATGTTTGATAATCCTATATCCTTTAGTAAGATAGAACATAACAGAACTCAAATAACAACACTTCTTGGCAAAACACCAATCAGGGTCTTCTTCAAAATGTCTACTCTAGAAGAATTTTGTCAACTGTGCAATAAGTGCTGTACAATAAGAACATTGGAAACATACATTCGAATTGATACTGTATTAGTATAAAATACTATAACGGTTACAATAATCTGGGCAGAAAAAACAACACCCAAGTAAGGACCTCAATGAAAATAAGTCATTTTCTACTCATCTTGGTGACTCACAGCGGGATCCAGGACATGCGTTACGTCTTCCATGAGACTCCTCAGCTGAATATACCTGCATCCCCAGTGAGTGATTTTGTCCCAGCTGAGAATCGAACGTCACACGCATCGCTCCAAACGCCAAAGCGTTATCCACCAATAGGGCACAATAGCCACCTCTTATGCAACGGGTATCAGTTGTTATTTTGATACTTGTTGCTTTGCAGAACCGAATCGCTCAACCTCTGTTAACAGATTGGTTTCTATGAGGACACCTCGATACTGCTGAACATTCATGATGTATACCCAACTGACGAGTTCCAAACAGAACGAAACACGCGTCCTGGACTCATCTGTTAGTCACCAAGATGAATATAACATCATGAATATCCGGAAGTATCAAGGCATCCGTATAGGAGCTCATCGGTCAACAGAGGTCAACCGATTCGACTCTGCATGGGAACGGGAAACTACAAGTATCAAATCAATAAATTGCTTTCGTTTGTTGAACTAGTGACACTACATAGAATGGTTACAGTAACGACAAATTGAACACCTAAATTGACTTATTCTTCTTACAACTATCATATCCCTTTTTCTTATCCAGCATTTACTTGAAGTGTTTTTAAGAGTTTGACAAGTGATTATTACTCAGAATGGAACCTTACATAATTTCTAACTCACTGGAGCCATGAAATGAGGTTAGATTTCAGTGTGTAGTGTATGTGTGCTTTAGGCATAACCACTTCCGAAAATAGATAAGACAATAAACAGAACTTATTTAAACCTTTTATAACCTATGCATAACCACTACAAACACGTTTTTCTTCATACCCAGAATCTGATTATTCGATTTAATTTAAGCTCAGTGTTAACCTTATGTCGGGTGCGACAGTTCAAAATCCCTATGACATTTCTATCAAAAGTCAGGATAACAGAAGTCGAAATGCACTCGGCAAACTTGCGTACATTCGTGCAGTAGACAATAAGCCACACTCGTTCTGTGAATGCTAATGAAACTACCTGGCTGCCCATACCTTAATAGGTGGGGCGGGTTTGGAGGCCGTGACCCACTTGGTTGGTAGTCGAGTGCCTACACCAATGAGTGACAGCTTCAGAATTTATAGGAAACCACTATGCATGATTAGTGTATCCCTAGATTTCAAAATACGTTCACAAACCTGCTTTGTAGTATAATCATTATTGGACGGTAATTCCAATGTTGAACGGTTAGGTAATGAAGAAGACGTCAGGTTTTCATGAGGAACTGGGAGAAGTGGTCGCCGAGAGCGTAATTCGGCTAGTTCTCGCATCCGTTCGAGCCTTTCTCTTTCAGCATGGCTCAGACTGCCTCTTGGATGTCAGGTTTGATGTTTGACACAGAGCTGGGTTGAAATTGTTCTCTAGCAGTCTTGCGTGTCTGAACTTGGGCTACCTCTTGTTGTTGCGCCTAGAAGAATAAAACAAGTGTTGACTGTGTGAAGCTAGAAATCCTAGAAAGTTGTTTGTAAGATATTTGGCCTCCAACTATATAATTTGAAGTAAGCTAGGAAAATCATTAAATCTCTCATATTTATCTTCCATTATCATCATGATTCATTACCGCTAACAGCCCTCATATTGAACTTCGATTTTAAGAAAGAATACAACAACATTATGGTAGCCAAGATTATGAAGACTTCAGTGACTTGCATTGGTTCCTAGACACTTTAAATCGATAGACAAAATCAATGCAGAACCTGTCATATTAGTGCAGCGGTTCAAGATGCCACGCTTCACAGTGGCACGAACAGATAAGTAGAAAGTGATGTTAAGTAGACAAAAAGGGATGGGAGAGACATAAATATGAAAACCAAGCTTATTAGCAACGTTCAAACTTTAGACTACGTCAATGAGTGAATACAATTACACCATTGTAACCGATTTTCAGCTGTATTACCAAGCATTTCCAACTACTAATTCTCCAAACAGACCTAGATGCTTTATTGATGAGTGTTTAGTGAAACTCATTCTACACTCTAGATCATCGGTTCAAAATTACAATGGGCAACTAAGGAAGTGAACGGAACACTGGCGAACATTTTTACAAGTGGCTAGAGATTATTTGAGCATTCAGTACTCTATTATGAACGGAATACAGACATACGCACATCAGAGCTGCTTCGAGTTTGAAGCTTGCTTATAACAACAAGTATCGAAAGGTTTTCATCAATATTTATATAGTACAAAAAGTGAATCTACCCGTATTGCCAAACTTCTCCTTGGCACAAAAATATCAACAGAGGAATAATAAAATTAAATATGATATACGTTAAGGGAAGATAGATGCATAAAGCATCAGTTCAAGTTGCTGGACTTCACAGTAGTATACAACAAAAGTGTATACAAAACGAAAGACATAAAGGTGGCCAGAAATGTATGAGGTAGAAGAATAAATAGATGAACGTGAGTGGCAATGTTCACGAATACCATTCGGCAACCTTGTGCACAATTGTGCAGTAGGCAATGAGCCACACTTAGTGTGTGAGGTCTGGTGAGACTACCTGGCTCCTTAAACCTCAGAAGGTGGAGCGGGGTTCAAACCCATGATCCACTGGTGAAAGTCATCTCCCTCAACTAATGAGCCACAGTCAATGTTCAAGACTTTAAAGACAAGAAAGAGCGAATAAAGCTGCCACATCAATATGATGCCATACTATCAAGTCTCCAACCATCGATCCCTATGACCACGAGGACCGCAGTTGGTCAAGGAGCTTACATCTTAAATAGCCTCACAACAACGGTCAGAGACTTTATGGGCTGTCATGTGCCAGTCTGCTGACTCTTAACCTCCTTCTAACGCAATTCTGCTTTGCCTAACACTGTACACTGATGTAGAGAGCGACTAGGCATGTGCAACACATTCCTAAGCTAACTCAGTCAGTGAAGGTTAACAACCTTGTCAACTAACTTGCCTTGCTTGGCGAGTACTCTGTACCTAACCTAGACGTTGCGCACATGGTGGTCCCAACATACAGTGAAAATTGCTGACAAAAACACCTTTGGTCGAAAACCCGTAACCTCTTCACATCTACTTCAGCGGCCATTTATTACAGCCATACAAGAGAACAAAGTAGAGTGCTGCACAGTATACTCGCTCTCTGATATTTAGTCAGATATCTCGTTGGTATCATAAATAGTGTAAGTTTGGAAATTTCAACTGGGCTATTTGAATCCCATCGAGATCTCGTCAGCAACCAACTCATTTGTGCTAACCCAACTCTGGTGAGTCGCCAATCCGAGGCACCGTTCAACCTAACGAGGTTTGGGCAGCCATGTGGCATCGTCAGCCATCAAACATTCTGCGTGGCTCATTGCCTATTCCACAAGTGCGAACAAGGTAGCTGAGTAATGTGAACTGAACCATCTTACATTCCACAAGTGTGAAACACATGCCAAACATGTCCAGATGTCTGTTTAAGACATTCAGAAGACTACGCATTGTCAATATCTTCGTTTAACAGGAGTTTATCGCCTGTGTACTATAAATTACCCAGGTACAATCTATGTAGTAAGTCAATCCTACAAAAGTTGAGGGCATGTAGGGTCACATCTATCAACATTTTAAAAATCAAGTTCGTTTTTATCTGGTTAACCCCAACCTTGTTCCAGGGTGGAAAATACTAGAGTTGACGTTTTTGTTTGTATTTTTCGTGAACTAAGGGTACAAATTAACGGACGAGGGATGATGTAAGGCATCTGTTGACAGAATTTATGTCAAACCATACAATGGATATGGTTCAGAGTCGATCACAATAGCAGAGATATATTCACTCTGAATCATTATTTTGGAAGTCTCGTATACTACCACTAACCTTCACTACAGTAATCTCTATTCTCAGATTTCATTTCGTTCAGTCCAATACTTTTATAATTCTGTTCATCATTTGTGTCTACTGCTTAGAAATGCGGCAACACACTTCTGTGCAAGGTTCCACATTAATTTTTAACTACTGTCGTAATCACACGAGAAAGTGATTCGATCACCCACCTTTTTTAATTGTATATGAGTTTGGGTAGTGTTATTGAATCCATAAGAATGAGTGTAATCCACACACTAGCATATGAAACTGGAAATTCCTTTAATTCGAAATCATAATCATACGAGACTTGAAACTACTTTCAACTTGACAAGCTACTTCACCACTGTAAGCCAATTACCAGTGCAAACTGAGAGTATATAAATAGGAAACCAGTACGTGTCAGCTTGAGTGGAGATTGGGCATGGGGTAAGTCAGTTCATGGGATGGTAAATTTTCACCATCTCAGGTGAAGTAGAGTTAGGCTGAAGAAAAACTAACGGTGGCCAGATCCAGTTGTGGCTTTACCTACTGAAACTCTTGGCTGCCCATTTGAGCGGTGTAGCGAAATGTAGGTTTACTTGGTTGCAGACCATGTACAACCAAAACTGATGGTCAAAATCTCTAGGTGATACAGGTCACAACCGATGGCGATGGTGCAGATGCATTCATATCTTATTTTAATATTTATTTTAGCTTTGCATTTTACCATTCGCTAAATTTTCTTATCTGGTTTTCTGGTTTTTCATGACTTTTTATATTATTTCCACCTACATTTTCTTACGATTTTTACTTTAATGTACTGATATGGTGTGGCTAATTGAACTGCTACGTAGTAGCTGCAGACCTCACATCGATTATGCCCATCTAGCCTACCTTCTCTGTTAGGCTACCAGTTATTATTTTGTTCAACTTTATCCTAGTAGTACTGACGATGACTCTTTACGCTTCCCAACTTCTTAGAAATTACTTCTATTAAAAATTCTCTGACCGACCTAGAGCATGAAGGCATCAGAATGTCAGTGCCAACAGAATGCAGTTCTGAAAGCCCCCAAACCAACAGGCAGCACCTTAATGCAGTTAAGCAACTTAGCACAAATTTACGCGCTAAAATACAAACTACGCTTGGTACGCTTAGTACATGGCCATCTTGATGAAAGTGAGCAAAGCCGTGTTTAAAGCCAGAACCGACTGCTTAAAAGTCAAGTTTTATGAACAGATTAAGGGAATATGTTTATACTCGATATACACTTTGTCTAATATTTACCAGACAGTAACAGCAGGATTCTATGTGGAGCTTTGACTAATCGCACGAGGCACCCGATTATCAATCAGTGTAAGATGGGGGTAGACCTCGCTCCGCCTATTGTGGATTGGGGAGCCAGGTAATATCGTAGATCCTATGCAAGTGTGGCTCATAACCTAGTGCGTGAATGTGCGGAATGCACTTTTTTTAACCATACATACTAGGTTGAGATTTTACTAGCATTCTGATATATCGACGTGTACGAAGTTTATGAACTTCATATTTGAGACTGAGTTGCAGCGAATATCATCTATTAGAGCACACGCTCTTACGTTTCGGTCTGATAATCCGGTGGCACTTTTTCAACTTAATAAGAACGTCATTGAATCACATCAGTCCGACTACTGCTAAACTTGATTGCACCAATAAGTCGGAAACCAAACTATGATGATTCATTTACCTATTTAAAAGTAAACCTATTGTTTGGAGTCATCTACATAGCAAAAATTGTGGTCGAGAAACTCCTCTTAATCCTTACTAAGAGCAACTTAAACAGGTAGAAACGAACAACAGTTCGGTAAACTTGGATTCTGACGGATAGAAAACCCGGTCATCACGTCTATCGAAGGTTCACGAAATGTTAAAAAAACTGCTTTTAGAGTAGCGTAGACGTAAGGTACTTGGTCCCGACAAAAGACTAGGGGAATAATATCGATTATTGATGGGACTCTTGGATTTCGATTATAGGAGTTACGAAAGTTAACGATGATTTTGGCAATTATATTTTCATCCCAACTTTCAGTGTTAACAACACAGAAGAGGCTAGCATTTTGAATTTGTATGCATCTAATTTGTCACAACAAACCAGCCAGTCAATGCAGGAAAGGGAGTTACTGCGTAACTGCCATATCTCACATCAGCATAAGGCAGAAGGCATAAAGATGAGAGGAGTCGGAAAAAAGTAAACGTCGCAGAAAGTCATGAGGATCAAAAAAGACAAAAAGAAATGACACAATGCAAAGCGCAGATGCACTGTATGACTGCAATATATTTGAAATCACTCTACTTGGTCTCCGATCATCGATTTCGATTGTCACGTAGACTTACTGAGAGTTATCCTCTGAATTGACAGCCAGTAGTGTCCACAAAGGATGTTCGCTGTCACCATTCTTCGTTTTAGATATATTACTGAACATAAATTTGGGCACCTTTAATTTCACAGAGATTGGTCTATTCCAAGGAAAACATCCGGTTGACTTGGAGCACACAGGCGACATTGTTTTATTGGGTAATGAGTGATGAAATACAGGTTCTGGATGTCTTGAGAAGAAATCTGAGCATGTTTGGCACGCGTTTCGGGCCTGTCAAATGTAAGATGATGCTTAAGAATTGGTCTTTAGCTATTTTCAGTCTAAGGATAAGCAGTGAGGCAGTGGAATGCGTCGACCACTTCACTTACTTAGGGAGTTGTATCAGCCCGAACGCGGTGAACATGACAGCAATGCTTACTCTGAGGGAACCTGGTGTGACATTAAGTCTGCTGTAGAAATATCGGTTAAGACAATTGTAAACACCATTGGATTTCTGCGATGTCATCCAAACTGACTGATAAAAGAAGACTGATTCCAATTGGCTCTGACCACGACGAAGAGCCAAGGCAACTTAAACTTAAGTTAACCAAGTCTTCGCGTCGATCACGAGCAGTAGTGCGTGACGATAGCGAAAGAGATAGGGATTGCATCAGAGTTGGATAACACTAGGCAACTAATTAGGCTTATTGCGGATACCGGCAAGAAAAAGACGGTGCTAAGTAAAACTATCACCGAAAAGGATGGGACGCTGTTTCGGGACAGGCGGCTAGAACGTCGAGTGGAACACACTGAAGCACAGTTGAACTGGACCCCAGCAACGCTTAAGTTGCCTAACATCCCGTTTAAACCTGAATGGTCCGTAGATGTCGGTCCTCCAACTCTCCTTGAAGTTGAGAAACCCGTGTCGAACCTGAAACAACGGAAAGCAGCAGGACCTGACAGTTTGGTATTTAAGGTTTTCAAGGATGGAGATAGAAAATTGCTGATTAGAGTGACGTAGGTACCAGGTAGTGTATAGGAGTCAGAGGTGGTCCCATCAGACTGGTCTACTTCAGTGATTATCCTAGTTTATAAGGGGGAGAAATCGTGTGTCAACCATAAGGGAATCAGCTTGACTAATATTGTGTGCAAGACCCTAGGGTTCAATGCTATGCGACGCCTAACTGGAGTTCAAGAACACCAAACACGATGAAATCAGCCAGGTTTCAAATCTGGTCGAAGGTGCATTGATCAGATTTTCGCCCTTCGACAAGTTCTGAAACTCAGACATATCTACGGGCGGCCGACATTTGCTTAAGAATTGTTGACCTGAAGGCGGGATTTTACTTTGTCGACCATGAGGTATTGTGGCAGTGTTTGACTGCGAAGGGAATACCGAACTAGTATATAATGCGTATCAAAGCTCTCTACGCGAACTTACGCAGCCGTGCCAGGGTTTATGGAGAGTTGTCAAGTGAGTTGACAACAACTAGTGGTATTCAGCAGGGATATCCACTGTTACAGTTCCTATTCAGCCTCTTTATGGACGGAGTAGTGGATATAACATTAGGAACGTCTGACTTTTCAGGGACTAATCTACTCCCTGGAGGTCATCTAGTTGACTTGGAACCTGCAGACGATATTGTCCTACTAGGTGAAAAAAATGACAAGATGCAGGGTCTTCTAAAAACCTTGAGCAGAAATCTGTGTGTTTGGCATGCGTTTGCACATGTGAAATGTAAGATAATACTCCACGACTGGTATGCAATGACTCCTAGATTAATGGGACGCAGTGAAGGGATGAAATGTGTCAACCACTTCACTTACTTCCGGAGTTGCATCAGACTGAACGGGCTGGTTGATGACGAAATCCGAGCTCAGATGAAGAAGGCTCGTTTGGCACTTGCCGACTTGCGTCACCTGTGGCACCGAATGCTGATTTATCTGACTATATATCAAAGGATGAGCATACTGCACTGCAGTCCGTTCTGTCCTTTGTACAGCTGAGACAGTCGTTAAAAGTAGACGACATGAAACAGTTACAGTTATTCGACCATAGGTGTCTTTGTAGCATTGCTCGTGTGTGGTGGAATCATCATGTGAGCAATGTTGAGATCAGGGGGAAGGTACTAGGCAAGACGAATAAGACGATTGATGAGGTTGTGAACGTTAGTTGACTGAGATGGCTTGGACGTGTACTGCACATGTCGAGCCACCGCCTATCTTGACGTGTAGCGATACGGGAAATTGGATTAATATGGAAAATGGTTGAGGACAGCCAGACGAAAACCTGACACCAGTTGATGAAGTCCCTGACCGTTGACTCGAGCCGTATAGGGGGGTGTAGACTGCCTGGTGGGGGTCCTTGAGACTAGAAGAGTAGGTGGTCGAAAACTCTTAAGGAAATGGTTGAAAGCATGTCGCAGTGGCGCAGATGTATTCACTTATTGACATCTAAAGCCTGGATATTCATACTAACCTTTATCTTCAGATTGTTTATTCTCTCACACAACTTTATCTACTCTGATATCAGTTATTCTATGCGCTTGTTCTGTGTTTTTCTGTGAAATGTGACAACTTGAGCTGAATCACTCCTGTGCGAGGTCGTACATTGATTGTCCGTCAGTAGGGTGAGGCTAAAAGTTAGCCTGTATCCTGCTGTTAAAATACATATTTTCTTTTTAAGTGAAAACTGCAATCGTAAGTTTTTTGCTGTAATCTGAAGGCTTAATTAACCTACTTTGATTTGTGAGCATTATTTTCACAATTAAGTGTACTTACATCCCAACTAGGAAGTGAAAGTGCAACCAATACTTGGTATATGGATAAACAAATCACATGATCAATGACAGAGGGCGCTTTAGAAACTATAGGAGTAGGTAAAGTATGCATACAGTATACAGAAAATACGAGAATTTGTGCAGAACGCTACCTCATAACAAGCACGATAACACCTGGGGGTAACTTTTAGTCTCGCCCTGGTCAGTTCAATCAATAGTGGTCTAGGTCACCTTATTAGCTTAGACTGACTGAATGAATTAGAGGACGAAAATAATGCATAATTGAATTTAAAAGTGAACTTACTTTGAAGTACAGTTGAACAAATTTTTGTGCACCATCTAGAAAACTCACGTTTGACTTGAAACACATGTAGTTTGCAGTGATTAAATTAGACACTAGCACGTAATCACCCACCTAAGTACAGGGGGAAACTAGTCTGGCGTGTTACTACACACAATGAATGAACAATAGGTAGGTCAAGATTCTGAGTTACGTAAGCGTGACCAAGAAAGTTCATTGGTATTTGTATTTCCCAATGAATGGACAAAAAGGTTGTTTCTTATTAAACCAACAAATCTCAACTTAGTTTAGATATCTAAACGATGATACAACATGACTTTCCCAGTTGTATCTTCATCCACCCAATATATACAGCGCCTAAAGTTTTCCCTGAAAGATAACTTAAACTGACAATCTAGTAAACTAATCAGTTGGTGCACAATATAAAGGAGATTACATCTCAAAAGACTAACGAAAACATTTGACAGGTAGACGTTAAAACGAGCAAGAAAAGGCTTCCCACTTTAGATATAAAAGTCGGATTAAACACTGCACTCTGTGATATATCGTTCTCGAACCAAAACCAAAAATCATGTTACAGGAATGAACCATAGGCTTAACGACAGTCACTGGCGGGGGGGCAATGGACGTTGAAAACGTCACCTAGCATGTTCTGAAAGGGTTATTAAGGTGTGAACAACACAGCATTAACTAGACAGGAAACTTTCGAGTAGTCATCTCGATATAAAATAATCTAATGATGATTAAAAAAAAACCCACAGCTTTTATTGTTTTACTGGCTTCAGGAGTGCCGGAGCTACTTGGTTGGTCAGTATTCATTAAACGTTCCCAACGAGCTTTCCTTGCAGAAACAGGAAGTTTATGGATATCGGCAAGACTATCCTGAGAAACGATCATATGAAAAACAAATATATACTCTGTTGCATTTAACCGCTTCTTTAGGACTCTGAAACCTGATATGCCTCATGTCGTCTTCCCAGGAGGCAATCTATGAAGGTGTGTGAAAATGTTATAACGAACACTACCTCCTTCGCCAAATTTGCCAGCTTCAATTTAGTTTTCTCCAAGTCGTTTATCTTGCTAGACGACAAATCGAATTAGAAGAAATAACGAAGCGAAAACCAACCTCATTTTTCGTACTCCCAGTTACCCGCCAGCAACCCTACAATCCAACTCGCAGCGTTAAAACAATGAAATGCTACACACTTAAAGTTTAGAACAAGAAACAAGAACTGAATTATGCTTTTGAATGTTTCTACGCTTTTAAAGTTATTAGTGGTGCACTACGCGGGTGGTTTTAAATGTCCTAGCTAGTTGTTATATCAGACTAGTTGCATTTCCCGGTTTGATGTCCAATATGCTAACATTGTGCATTCATTTTTGTTTGTATTTTCCTTGAAGAAAACTTGACTTGCTACGGCTTTCGAATCGAAAAGTGTTATGGCTAAGTTCTGCGCTGTCTGCATCTTCAGCTTTTGTTTTCGCGTTGTTTGACACTTGTAGTTCACCTTCTTGACACCAAAATATGACTAGGGCTAAAATAAATAGATTAAATTGAATCAAATCGCCTACAGATGCTTCAGGTGTTTTAGGTTTTGTTCTAACGAGTGTGCATCTCAGCAGGCTTGCACGCCATTTTGCGCTTCCTTAGCGCTGGTTAGCACGCACATACTCAGAGTCCCTGGCTCAGCCATACTAACCAGATAAGTTGAATAAACTTTCCCCCCATTCATTACCATCACATTTACTGTAATTAAATACATTACTTCTTCGAATATATTCCCGAACCAGTTCTTTTGATTTGCGTTTCGTTATCAGTACTTACACGTTAGGTGAGGTACTGGTTCAGCATGCACTAGAGCACATCAAGTTAAGTAGGGTTGGTCAAACGTTACGGAATAGTAACACATCCCCCTACACACTGGTGGAACACCGATGTCATGAACACTATCAGTACGTGAATGTGTCTGGGCTTGTATAAACACCATGGTAGGCAACTCTGCCCACAACAAAACCTATCCATATCAAGTGAAATCAGGCAATGGAGGTCCTCTATCTAAAGATCAGAACTTTCCCCCGAAGCGATAACTAACCACATATTCCACATGTACTTCATTAACACTGAAAATTAAACTGGAAGCAAATTCCATTCTCAAGCTAATCGACGAGCAGACACGAAACTGATAGTGTAAAGCCCAAGAAAATCCCCCAAAGTCAACAACCTAAGGTTTAACGAGATGAAACATTGATGGCGACCTGCTTAGTTTCAATGGAATCGCTAAGCTGAAGGCACACAGTCAAGCATCCGCGATATTTGGCACGTTGTCGTGTCACGTTGGCTTGCTTCGCTCATACGCGATCCTCTAGCGAGTTAGTCAAAATGCATCGGAATTTCAGTAAGATGGATCAAACATACTATTCCACCCGACTACCTTGTTAAGTTCTCTCTTGGTCTTGAACTTGTGGGCCTCCTGCAAGTATGTGTAACTAGCAATTGATCTTGGCACCTGTCAAATTGGCATAAGACCAATTCCCAAGCCACCAATTTTCTATAGCTTACTTTCCGAGGTTTTCCAGCTATTTGCAGTCTGTCTTCCTGTGTAGTCCAATCAGACTCCCAAACTTATCTGGGTTAACCCAAAACCATCCGCAATCCGGTCCGTGTCGTACAGACCAAACGACACGGAAGCACAGTTTCTGTGCGTCGAAGCTGAATTCTCAGAAAAAGGTGTGGCTGATCCTCATTTTCGATTTTTCACTGCTATGTGATCGCTACCGCGGGAATCAAATAAGCACATTACGGTGCATGTGCCTAATCCTGAAGTTAGTGATCCCTACAAACTGTTCGAAGCAGCCCTTTTGAAGATAGATCATCTCATGGTTCGCCAACCAATAGATGAATTGCCATGTCACACTGAGCTAGAGAGCAACTCAGCTTCTCCAGTGCCCTCATGCATTCGAGAAGATACTTGCCCATGAACGCCCGATGATGGCGTTTTCCTCGAAGCTAACAAAGCTGTTACAAACTGTGTTGGTTGCAATCAGTCGGCTGCTAGCAATGATCTGGCAGCCATGGATAGTAAAATACTGGAGACCTCCGGTGGGCTTGTCTCCAATGCATACTCTGATTACAGGAAACCCATTTGTGTGATCTGAGAAATGGAACAGCCATGCAAATGTGTTAGGCAGCTCCTACGGACCCGAAGTTCCAGGTCACGATGTGAAATGCAACAGCAACCTGTTTAATCCCGTCGGGGCAACCTACACAATCGTTCAGCAGCCAAGTCTTACATGATCGAAGGCCCTAGAGGGCTTTCGTCCCGCGACATCTATGGCGAAGAAGCAAGAAGTTGTCGAAAACCGTGAACCACCGGTAAACACCTCAAAAAACTGGGAGATTGACTCGCGGGCAGGTGCTAACAGCAACCGTAACTGGCGTAAAAGGCGGTTTGTTGTACTTAACTCGGGTGAAGACGACAGTTGGGTGTTTTGCGAATATCTTCGGGTTCTCTCATGCTCAAAGCTGGCACATCCAGTCTGAAAACTGCTGATCGTGAGACTAGGTCTACTTCAGACGAATGAAACAGGAGTATAGCGCTCTCATTCCAACGACGGACCCATGCAGGTCGCAGGTCATATCCAGTCTAGAGACCCGATCACTGACAAGAACTAAACAGAATGGCATGTAATCTCGTTCTGAGGCTGCCAGCGTCACGGCCACTGGACTGGTCTTCAGTGAACCTTGCATACTCGACTGTGAAGAGTGGCAAGCAACTAGGTCTAAGGGGCATGCTAAGAAGCCAATAACAATCGTCGAACCGGCTGTCATGACTCCACAGGGCAAACACAAAGTAGAGATCCCGGACAGGTCCGTTATTTCCCACACAGTGAAAGAAAGTAGGGACCCAGAACTACGTAAACGTTTCGAAAATGACTCTGACAAGGTACAAAGTTTGATAAGCCAGCTTTTACCAGGAAAAAAAATATATATATATAGTGGGCAAACAGGAAAGTCATTGTTGAAAACAAGTTTCAGCTACTTAAAGTCATGTTCATGTCAACAGATGAGAACGATCAGATTCTGAAGAAAGCTCATAGACCTCAAGGATCCATGGTGTTCGTGCGAAAGGATTTGTCTCTTGCTGATGAAACCAAAAAACGGGAAGTAGAATCAGAACTAAAATCCAGATTAGCAACTGGAGGGCAAGATTCGAAATTAGTGGGCTTTCGTGCAGCGGGGTTTCGGCAACAGATGATACCAAAGCCTCTATGAATGGGACGGAAACTCATTCAGGTAATTTTATCGTCTAGTACACAAATCCACGCAGTCTGCTAACGTAATAAGCAACGAAAGCCCCGACATCATTGCTTTCTCAAAAACTTGACTGTCTACTGGGGTCAGTGACTGCGAAGCATACGGGGGTTCGTTCCTTTTGAAAGTGACAGGTGGTGGTGTCATCCTTTACGTTAAGAATGCCTAAACCATAAAAGCCACAGAAACAGTTGCGCATGGAAGTGGGACATGTGAAGTGCTGCGCTGCCGACTGAAATACGAGGAACAAGATGTTAATGTAATCGTCACGTATTGAAGCTCTGAATGAGAGGCAGCAGACTTCCTCCTGAATAAGTTGACCCTCTGGCAGGCAAATGCCGATGCCAAGTTGTAGGGGACTTCAACGCAGCATCAGTTGACCGGGATAGACCAACAAGGAGGGGACCACGTAACTCGTTTGGTCACGGGTTGGTATAAACATCGATTACTTTGGCCCTCATACAGCATGTTAAGACACCAACCGGATATGATAATCAGCATGCTCCATCAGTTCTAGACTTGGTATTCTCTCACACGTGATGTATGCTTCAGCCGGCGCCTTGCATTCCCTGGCAAAAGTGATCATCCTCAGGTTCACAGCAGGCGTCTTGTACCAGGCCGATGCCTCAGCTAGGCCCAACATATGGAAAGCGAATATGGGAGCTATTAACCCGGCACCTCTTCAGGGGACTGGACAGTTAATCCAGAAGCCCCAGCTGAAGGTGCGTGGTGCTTCTCTAAACATTTATATGCACCACTGACCTAAACGTTCATCCCGTGGACTGTCCCGGGAACGTGGAAAGATTATCCTCTGCGGATAACTCAAGGAATGCGAATCTTGCTACGACGTAAGAAAAAGTGTTGGAGTCTTGGCACCCACTTCGGTACACCTGAAGTGGTGAAACACTACAAGGAAGCCCAAAATAAATGTATCACTGCCATCCGCCGGTCTCAAATGTGCTTTGAAACACCTCTTGCCCAAGCTGCATTGCAACATCCAAAGAGGTTATTTTCCTATATGAACTATAGAAGTAAGATGTGTAGTGGTATGCCCGACCTAATCAATGGGGCCGAAACTGACTGTTTGATTGAGGGCGATAGGGAAAAAGCAGGGGCCATGGCTGGATATTTTGCTGAGGTTTTCACACAGGAATCTTCCGTGGACACTTATCCAACAGTGGAAGCATTGAAATCCAACAGAATAAGCCCTGTGGATATCGATTGCAATGATGTATTTCAGACGTTAAGTGATCTCGAAGTGGAAAAATCAACGGGAATGGATGAGCCGCGCCCAAGGTTGCTCAGCGGGCCTGCACTCTGTCTCAGTGAAGGCGGACCCCATATGGATGAGAAAGTTCCTTGTTGGCAGGGGACAAACAGTAAGGATAGATTCCCAACCCTCCTCTACCCTCCTCGTGGTTGTCGGTGGAGGGTGAAGTGCCGCAAGGCACAGTCCTAGACCCCCTTTCGTCTCTCCGATGCGTAACTGGGCTTCAAATATCACGAAATCTCCTGTGGTCCTCTACGCTGGTGGTGTAAAAATCTGGCGGAAACTGGGAACGATGAGGACACATATGCGCCTCAGGCAGACCTAAACACCTTGTTCACCTGGTCAGAGAAGTGGCCGATGCCCATCAATGCAGGTGAATATGTCAGCATGCAATGGAGGCACACACTGACACCTATGATATTGATGGGACTCTTCTGCCGTTAGTACTGACCCATGATGACCTAGGAGCTACAGTGAGTTATGACTTGAAAACCATGGCTCGCTGTCGAGTGGTATCGGCTCGGAGTTTTAGGACTCTCTGGGCATTACGTAGAATGTTTACCAAAATAAGTGGTGACATGTTTACTCTCTTATACACATTCTTGGGTTCAAATAAGGAAACTTTACACAGGCTGCTAGTCCTTGTCTGAAAGGTGACGCAGACCTTCTAGGAAGAGTTCGGAGAGCAGCCACTTATATGATCCCTGAGGTAGCTGGCCTCACCTATGAAAATCAACTTAAGGGGCTGAACCTCTTCACTTTGTCCCATTGGAGACAGAGGGGAGACCTATTTATGCTATACGGGGTTCTAGGAAATAACTGTGCACTTGATCTATATTCTCTTTTTCTTCCAACTAGGTCGGAACACCTCAGAGGACATAGTAGGAGGCTACAAAAGCAAAGAACAGTCTCCGCAGAGTACTGGTTCTCGTGTCGAGTAATCAACTTCCGGAACCGACTCCCAGAAGAAGTGGTGTCCGCATCATCAAATGACCCTTTCAAAAGGGGATTGGACGAGCACAGAAATCTACTGGAAAAGGATTAGCATAGGCTTCCAGCCTCCTTTCCTCAAACAACAGATCCGAATCTGTATCTGAACTTGATACACGGTGCACTTAAATTTACGTTTCCATACTGGGGTTTTCAGTGGTTAAATTTTGGGCGACTACCTGCAAATATGGCGTCAAGTAGTCTTAAATCGCTGAGTCGGAATCGAAAGGGAGGTCAGACTGCGCCTCACCTGCACATCTACTGTATGTTCCTTGTTGGTCCTCCGTTTAACGCACTTGATCCCACTCATGTTGGCCGAGAAAAAGTTCGATAAATAGAGCAGGACTCCAAAGACTTAGCTGAATAGTTAGAAAAGCTTTTGTTTACGTCCTTAGTTCCCGACTATAAGCACAAATGCTCTCAACATTTTGAATTCATCGGTTTATTTAAATATTGCAAGGTCTTGTCCGGTGGGCGTTTTAAACTTAGTTTTCTCTTAAGGATTTTAGGGCATGGACCGTGCGCCCGCAGCATATGAGACTACATACGAGACAAGATATGAAACAACTGATGTATCATCTGTAATTAATGTTGGTTTTGTCCGCAGTTTAAGCGGAATCTTGAAGCTTTCTGAAGTAAGTGTGTATAATGTTTCTCCTGGTAATTTCATTTACAAACGGGCAGTCATGGAGTTAAAATTTATTGTTCAGTTAGCATATGCTTTGAGTTATTTTAAAGTGAGATAGTTGTATACTTCAAGTAAAGATGTATGTGGTATTTCAATTTAGTCTGTGTTATACTTTCCTGAATGCGATTTGAAATGATATACCAACTCTAGTAGATTTGGCTTGTCGATTCTTCTCACAATGATTTCTTGCTACAATGAATAACAGCCGTTAACATACAGACTCCTATTAGTTCATTAAAATTGTAACAAAGGTCATTTATATCAGAATTCCAAAATCTGTTAGCAATTACAGTACTTTGAATGAGTTTGTAATATCGTAGATGAAAAACAACCCTGTTTAGCTAATGTACTTGCTTACTTGAAGATTTTGTTGCGCTCTCTCTCTTTTTGTTCGAATTCAAAACATATTTTCCGCAGGAAGTAATATTTACGGTTATAAGTTTCCCATCGTAGGGATCAATAATGTACGTCCACTTTAATTCACTCTCAAACGAATGATAAAAGAGGAAGAAACTATGAATCCATTAATTACTGTACTTTCAACTTCACTACCTTACTTCACAAATTGTTTATGATTGCACAGGAGGACATGCTGAATTTGCTAAGTTCGTTTAAACAAATAAGCAGACATCGAACTTTGCATAACATTTACCATATGTTTATGATGTAGGAGACTCCCGTCTGCTTTGCTAATTATCTTACAAAAAGTCTAAAGTTATGTCGTAATCTTTCGCTGTATATAGAAATAGTAGAATCTTTCATGGTGGTCTCGCAGCGTATATAAATAGGGAGAAAGAAAAGATGTTTTATGTATGGGAACACGTTTCGCTCCTAGACACTGGTCTCCACGAGTTCTTTGGGAGCAGGTTGGATACTGTTGAGATCAGTAATGCATTAATTGTGTTTGTGTCATACTAATTGTTTAATCGTTGTGACGAATATTACACGCTAAATACACGTTTCTTGACACTGACCGAGATTCTGGGTGGCCTTGCATCATCAGAGTGCGTAATACTTTTGACAAGAGCTCGTGAGTACATTCACCTGTGTAGATGGTCTAAAAATAATGATCAGAAGGCTCGTGTTTTTGTACTGAAAATTTGACGGTTTACATATAATATATACCAAAGCAGCGCACCATAATATGGTTTTTAGCGTTAGCTTACTGCGAAATACGTGTACAATACTTCGGCATGAGCAGTTCTGCTTTCCAACTATTAAACTTAGTAGCGGTGAAATCTGAGTATCCGACGTCTATATGCATTTGATTAACTCTATTACTATAAGACTGCTTGCGAAAGGTAGCAACCTTGTAGTTCCGACCGCATGCTATTGTGCATGATTGTCAGATAAGGTCCGGGAATACGCGTCGATGGCCATAATACATCTCACGGATACCACATTGATCACCTCTGATTCACATACACTAGTTAGCAGACTTGATCAGTTTAAGATGACACCATGAGATAAATATTTGTGTTAGGTTAACACCTGTTTGAACATCATATATCTTAGTAACTTGAGTTCTTCAAAGAAACTCAGTCGAAACTAGCTGCTATCAAGGAGTTGCCAACTGTCAATCTGAACCGGAAGAGGAGATGTAGGCTTTGTCGTTGAGGTCTGGAGATTCCAAATGACTCAGCAAAAGGTCGATCTTAGTTGTTTAGATGTATCCATATCTTTGTCTAAATGTTTATCTCATATTTCATCATGTGCTTTAACCTCTTAGTTCTGAGGCTTTCAACAACTCCGGTTATATTATATCCATTTATTTGTCTTTTATTCTGTTACTCGTCTCTTTATCTAATGTAAATTATGTCAACTTGAACTGTTAAGTAGTAATCCCAGGTCCTGTTTTGATAATGATTGACATCATTTGATGTACCAAGTATTGCATAAGTCTGTGTACTTTTATTTCTATCGATAAACTGTTTGTAGTACAAACCAGTTGAACAGCAGTGTTTCACTAACTTCAATTGACTTTCGCTCTTGAAGGAGTTATAGAAGAAGGGTTTCGTCGACTGTGTCACATTTACTTTCCATACTTGCTGATGAAATACAGCAAATAGTCATGAAAACCCAAGAATCCATCAGTAGTGACTAATCTGTCATCAAATTTCACTATGGGACAATTTCTATAGTATGTCAAAGAAGCCGTTAAAGTTCAAACAAAGTTTATTCGTCTATACTTTTCCGAAAAAGCCTGAATAGGGCTTAACATGTTTCATGCTTAATACCAAGGAATGTAGAATTATGCTTGTCGTAGTGTTTTTACCTTAATTGGAATTTTACAATGAAGTGTCCTTTTTAGGTTGGAATTTACCATGGACTGATATCAGTTGGAGGAACACTGGACACATGTTTTGTCCTAGTATGAAACTCCTCAGCGGTGGGCATAAGTGGCCCTGCCCTCCCATGCTAAGACGGAACAGCTGTCCAGTGCCCCCAGGTTTCCAATGTTCATCCAACTGGTATCAGTCCATGATGAATACGAACCTAAAATCAATTAATAAATCTCCACAAACCTCCAGATAAAATATCTTTTATCATTTGACTGAGATAGCCATTGTTTGGCAGACTAGTATTTATACTGGTTGATGATTGAAGGAGAAATGGAAATTTGAACTGCGTCCGGATTCGGACCAGTGACCACCCGGTGGTCTCCTCACCAATCTCTACCCAATATAAAATAGCCTTTATTGAAATGTTCTCCGAGTCTGCTATTTCTAAGCTTCAGTTTGACTTCAACTGGACATGAACCCTAGACTTTTCTAATCTGTTAGTTAAACTGGCTCCTCCACGGTCATCATTAGAAGATTTCTATGGTATTCAGTAATATAGTCTTATTTCAGAGATGCTCAAAAGCTAAGTTTTTACGTGTTGCTCAACCCTCCTATACGTCTCTGTTAATCACTTCAGTTAAGTGTATTGCAGTGAAGGTCTGATTCAGTTTCGTCGATGCTGAGCTCTCAACTGTTGGGTTTAAATTGTGCTATGTGATCATCATTTACCAGTGTAAATACTTGGTTTTAAGTCGCACTTAATGTATACAGTAACATTAAAGGGAAGAAATATATATCAAATTAGGTATAATTCCCTCTCTCTAGGTCTGTTGCTTTGATAACATTTGTGAATGCTCTGTATTTCAAGTGATGTCAGAGAGAAAATAATGTGAGGTTGATTTGTTGGAAGAAAAATGAAGAATGTGAAGCTCGATTCGGGGACGTAAATGAATGACCTGATTGCTACATCCAACTTTGTATTCGATGTTTTATATGAGCGTATAGTAGTAGTGTGCTATTCTAGTAGGATGTTTTAACTTGGTGAATAATATTTCTGCGTAATTATGTCTTGTCTCATTATCTTATCAAAGATTGGTTCTGAGCTGTACATTGCAGTTGTCCTAGTAATTCCTATCCTTGCTAAAAGGGTTTCATTAATGTAGTTGACTTACTCAAAGTCTGTAAAGACCTACAATGACTGTTGTTGTTTGATACTTGTAATTTTCCGCTGGGGTCCAAATGCTTCACCTGCGTTGACAGATGGGTTCTTATGTAGATGCCTCAATACTGCCGGATATTCATCTTGGTGACTCGCAGTGCAATTCAGAGCGCGCGTTTCGTCCTATTTGGAACTCGTCAGATGGATGTGCCTGCAAGTATCAGGTATGAAACAACAATAAATGATATCCGTTGCACAAGTGGTGGCTCTCTTGCCCCAGTAGCCTAGTGGATAACGCGTTGGCGTTTGAATCGTTGGGTATTGGGTTCTAGTCTCAGTAGGAATAGCACTTACTAGGGTGCAGGCACATTCAGCTGAAGAGTCCCAAAGAGGACGAACCGCGTGTCCTGGATTTCATTTCGAATCACTAAAATGAATACTACAGTAACTGTTTTGAACAAAACTGTCACATAATACCACATGAATTGTTCTATCTGTTTACTTTCTCGGAATTCACTTTCGCCTACCTTTCTCTCTAAGAAGCAACTGTTTTGATACTAGTGTTATTCTTTTTTCATATAAGGCTAATCGTTTTTATTGTCTCTGAAACAGATTGCGACCTCATAAAATTACTTTACCGGATGGAACTGATTACTGTGGCTCGTTAACTAGGAAAAAAAAGAAGTCTTGACTCATTACACCTATCAATAAAATCATTATAAAACAACCAGATTTGTCGGTGGAATTCATTTTCTTTTTCTATGAGTAACAGATAGAGAGAATCAACGTAGGACCTGGTACACAAGTGCATCAGTCCACGTTTTTATACTTCACAGTAGTATACAAAGAGCAGGTGGTGATATCAAAGCACACAAAGTTGTGTGAGAGACTAAGTAATTTGACGATGACGGTTAGTGAGAATATTCAACTTTGAGGAGACGCCAAAAGTGAATAAATCTGCACCACTGCAACCGATTTTCAGCCATGTCACCAAAACTCAGTCCCCAACCACTGATTCCTATCGTCTCGAGGGCCCCATCCAGGCAGTTTGTGTCTCATGACACAACTCAGACCAACAGTTAGGAACTTCATGAACTGGTTTCACATCTTGGTCTGGCCACTCGAACCCTTCACTTCCAACTTATTCCCGTTCCCTGTAGCATGGCACTTCGAGATAGGCAATGGATTGGCATGCGTAGCACATGTCCCATCCACCTCGACCGATGAAGGTTCACAGCTTCATCAATCGACTTGTCTATCTTGCTTAGTGCCCTTTGCCTGACCTCAACATTGTTCACATGGTGATTTCATTAAACACGAGCAGTGCTACAAAGGCACTTTTGATTGAAATCCAGTAAGGGCTTCATGTCTTTTATTTTTAACTATCATATCTTACAGCCGTATAACAAGACAGATAAATAGACATCTTGACATTTAGCGCCACAGATGATACAAGTTGACAAACGTCAAATGGGCCTTCTGTATCCGAGCTGAGATTTCGTCACCAACCACACCATTCAAACCGAAGCGCTCCCTGTCATTAAGCTGGGAGTAATTTCTAATCAGCCCTGAGGTATCATGTCATTTGATAGGTGGCAGACGAATACCAAGCATATTCAGACTTATACTCAATGCCTTCACATTTGTTATTATTATTATTATTATTATTATTATTATTATTATTATTATTATTATTATTATTAGTCCCTTGGGTTCCTAGTGGAACATAGGGCTTCAGTAGCACGTCTCCAGTGACCTCTGTTCTCTGAGATCTTTTGAACCTGGTCCCACGACAGCCCAGAAGCTCTCATTTCCTCCTCGCACGACCTCCTCCATGTCACCCTCAGCTGGGACGTCCAACTCGTCGCTTCCCACGGGGATTCCACTCGAGCAACTGGCCTGACGCGTGATGTCCCCAGTTGGCCTTCTCAGTGCATGGCCAATCCATCTCCACTTCCTCCTGCATATTTGTTGCGTGATAGGTTCTTGGTTGGTTCGTTCCCAGAGTTCCTTCTTGCTTATTCTTTCTGGCCATCTGATCTTCAGTGGCGAGCCAGCGTAAGCAGTTGTTGATGAATGTCTGTAGTTTATTGGAAATGCCTTTCGTGACGCGCCAAGTCTCTGAGCCATACAAGAGCACTGACTTGACGTTGGTGTTGAAAATCCGTATCTTGTTCGGCATGCTGAGTGCAGAAGATCTCCACACTGGTTTCAGGCTAATGAACGCCTGTCTTGCTTTTCCACATTTGTTATTGCTTAGAATTTTCGTTCCATGCAGTAAGGTAATTTGATTTGACTCATTCTGTTTGACTTATTGACACTAATTTCTAATTGTTATCATGTCTGAAACATTTCTCAATATTACAATTGTACCTTAATTAATTGTTAGTCGACAAATACTTCATTCGTTATATTAATAACCATATTTGTATATTCACTGCAGTTCTATTTTTCGTCTTGTATATTTGTGCACAGATTTTATTGAGTTGTATCGTGCTAATTTGTGTAGCTGCCACATCATACTGGTCGCTTCATCCTTCTGGTGGATGGGTGAATTTTGTTGCATCCATCACTTTAATATGTGCAGCCGTCTTCTATATTTTCTATTTGTTCAACTTAATCAGAAAGTTGCCAGGCCCATGGATTATAATTGTAAGTTTTAAATCTATTCATAATTTGAATTTTCTTTTAGACTATCATGGAGACTCTTTTTCTCTCCTAAAGTTTATTATTGGTTTGTTTATTTGCAAGAAGACTTGAGGAGAGGGGGGGTATTTCATGCATTTCTTTTTAAATGTCTAAGTGATTATTAAATCTGCATACATTTAGTGAAGGATTCAATATTTCGATTGTGTTGTATTCCTTACTGCTAGTTGGTAATTTATCCCTATTGCAAAGATTCTGTCAGTAAGCCCACGAAACGGTTATTGAATCATGAATTATGCAAATAAAAATCCTTCGGTGCTGATAGAAGTCTGTTGGAGCTATGGTTCAGGGAGATGACTCCTAACCAAGTGGTTCATGGGTTCAAACATCTCTCCACCTACCAAGGCTTAGGCAGCCAGACAGTATCATACGCCTTCTCACACAATAGGTGTGACTAATTGCCTACTGCATAGATGTGCACAAGGTTGCTGAGTGCATTTCGATCCCTCTCGAATGATAACCAGGTTTTCAATGTGAACACTAAACTGAGCGATACGATACTGCACTGGATGTTACATTTTATCAGTTACCTGGCTTAATAGCATCAAATGTGCAAGCAAGTTTTGCTTGGCCATCACCAAGTCTAATAAGACTTCATCACAACTAACTTCTCATAACACAAACTAAATGTAAAGTGCACTATAAACCCTGCGTACTGACCACATTCTTTTTGTCGATAGCTTACTGAGAACATCGACTACAGCACTGAATGATGCAAGTTTAATATTTTCGAGTTTAAAAATATCCCTTACCGTTGAGGTATCTATTAGGATGCAACGTAAATCTGGCGATTCCCACTGACTACTGAGAAAGACCAGCTTATCATCATTAGTGAGCAAAAATTTCCCACCATTTTTGTGAGGTTGTCTATGTAACTGCAAAATCTTGATTTGTGGACGAATTCGACAATAGTTTTCTCGCTAGTTGGAATATCAACGAGTATGTTCAAGATAATTCCCTACCTGGCTGAGTGACACTGACAAAATCAACGTGCGACCTTGCACAGGAGTGCATCGGCTCAAGTTGTCGAACTTCACAGAAGTACAAAAATGACAGGTATGTAGAAAAAGAGTGATATCAGATAAAGTAGTGTGAGAGAATAAACAATCTGAAGATAAAGATTAGCTTGAATATTTAAGCTTTAGATGTCAGTCCTCAACTACTGATTCTTATTGTCTCGGGGACCACAATCAAACAGTCTGCACCCCCCACATGGCTCAAGTTAACAGTCAGGGACTTCATTGGATGGTGCCAGGCCTTAACTTGGTCACGCAGCCTACACTTTCATAGCCGAAACCCAACCTTCTGTCTCTTTGACAATCCTTAGTATTCTTGCTTTTTTGACCTTTAAGCATACCCTATATATATATATATATTCAGAAAGGGATTGTTTCATTTTATCGCAGAATTTCTAACAATAATAACACTTCCACTACATAAATCAGTACAACTAGACTATGAGTGACACATATTGCATAAGAGTTAATAGTTTTTAGCTATCTGAACCTTAGTATGCGGAGTTTGGATCCGAATTCTTTACCCATTATTATTTAAAGTTGACTACCTGAAACAAACATTAGAAACTCTGTCATTGTCGTTACCTAATTATTGTCCTGTATGTTAGCGCATTTCCAAGATTATTATTATTTGTCCCTTGGGTTCCTAATGGAACATAGGGCTTCAGTAGCACGTCTCCATTCCACTCTCTTTTCTGCAAACTTTTGAACCTGGTTGCAAGCCAGCCCAGAAGCTCTCGTTTCTTCCTCGCATGATCTCCAAGTCACCCTCGGACACCCAACTCGTCGCTTCCCATCTGGGTTCTACAAGATACCCGAACTATATGTGCCGCGCAGGCTATTGAAGAAAAGTAGAACCGGGAAGGGGCTAACAGTATCAAACGATATCGACTACTTCAATACTTTTGGTAACCAGAAATTTGTAGGTTACCTTTAATGGCATACTCGTCTACGTAGTATGGTTCTGCGTTTGGTTAAATCATCGTATGAACAATGTTGAGGTCAGGCAAAGGGCATTAAGTAAAATAGACAAATCGATTGATGAAGCTGTGAACCTTCATCGGTCGAGGTGGATGGGACATGTGCTACGCATGCCAATCCATTGCCTATCTCGAAGTGCCATGCTACAGGGAACGGGAATAAGTTGGAAGTGAAGGGTTCGAGTGGCCAGACCAAGATGTGAAACCAGTTCATGAAGTTCCTAACTGTTGGTCTGAGTTGTGTCATGAGACACAAACTGCCTGGATGGGGCCCTCGAGACGATAGGAATCAGTGGTTGGGGACTGAGTTTTGGTGACATGGCTGAAAATCGGTTGCAGTGGTGCAGATTTATTCACTTTTGGCGTCTCCTCAAAGTTGAATATTCTCACTAACCGTCATCGTCAAATTACTTAGTCTCTCACACAACTTTGTGTGCTTTGATATCATCGCCTGCTCTTTGTATACTACTGAAAAATGTGGCAACTTGAACCGATTCTCTTGCGTGCGATATTCTGCGTTGATTCTGTGTATCTGTCATGCAGAAAGATCATTTGTGACCCGAATAAGTTAGTGTTTAAATGTCCAACTTCATTGGGCATTGTAAGTTCATATCTAGATATCATCGAGGTTACAGATGCACTAGTCACCGATGATAATAATAATACATTTGCTTTATTCCGCACCATAGTTATGTTTACAGTAAAGAATTCTCAGCGTGTGTTATAACATCAACTTACCCATAGTACAACACTTTTAAAACATTCATAACGGTTCTGTTTAACAAGCCCTAGTGTTACATAGGGCTTCAGTAGCGCACCTCCATTCCAGTCTGTTCTACGCAGTTTTTAAAACCTCGCTCCAAAACTTCCCACAAGCTTTCATTTCTCCCTCACATGATCTCCATATCACCCTCACCTCGGGCGCCCAAGTCGTCGTTTCGCCTTTGGATTCCACTCGAGGGCCTGGCCTGGCGCGTGATGTCCCCAATTGGCCTCCCCAGTGTATACCCAATCCATCTCCACTTTCTTCCTCTGCATATTTGCTAGGTGGTAGGTTCTTGGTTGGTTGCCAGCCAGTCAACCAGCCAGAGTTCTTCAGTATCTTCAGTATCGAGTGAGCGTAGGCGACAGCTGTTGATGAATGTGTGTAGTTTGTTGGAAGTGCTTTTCGTGACGCCAAGTTTCCGAACCATATAGCAGCACTGATTTGACATTGGTGTTGAAAATCTGGACCTTGTTATTTGTGCTGAGTGCAGAAGATCTCCATTCCGATTTCAAATTAATGAAGAAAGGCCTGTCTTGTTGTCTTTCCGATCCTGGTTTGACATCCTCATCTGTGTCTGTGTCGCCTGTAGTTGAAACGATCCTGCCCTGCCTAGGTAGTTGGGTAGGTGAAAGAGACAACTTCATTTAGGTTTCTCCCGTTCATGGTGATCGATGCTTGTTATTGTTGTTGGTTAGATGTCTTCACCACCTCTACCTCTGTCTTCTCTACGTTCACCTGGATGAAGCCCCATCTTCCTTCGCTGCCCAGCCTCTTCTGTAAGCTTGTTGGTTTTCGCCTGTAGATCTTCGAGTTTGTGTGACATAAGATATTAGACATAAACGATCATAGTTGGCGAAATTTAAATGTTCTAGGCTCTTTTCATCGGTCCAGTCAGCGTATTCCTCTGTTCTGTCTCCTCACAGTTTCTTGCATCATCCAGTCCAGTTGAGTCGGGTCGATCACAATCAGGAAAATGATCGGTGATAGTAGGTGGCAAGCTTGTCTTACTCCTATCGCCTGTGTTCACTTCAAAGACGTCACTGAGCTCTCCATTATGGATCACTTGGCATGTGGCGTCCTCATATAGCTGTTGAATGCTTTATCAATATATAATAAAGAATAACGAATAACAGGATTATTGAAATGTTGAATAGCTTCAGGGACATGATAACTATTCACTATTACACAGTTGATTAATAAAACTATGTGTAACAAAATTTTCTTTACATAGTACACAAGCTGAATAAGTTGGTATGATTGTATGTAGTTGTGCGTGCATAGAGTTGAATATATTTGCTTCTTGACTACCCAGACGACAGGCATGGACATAGGTGTGGATGAAGAGGATACTCGCCATCAGATAAAATATTTTTTAGCTAGTAGTCTACAAGAGTTCAGATGCCTATCCACAACTACATTTATCAGCTTGGTTAGTGGTGTGATACTTGCTCTACTTACAACTTTCAAAACGTAGTCTTTTTTTTTCAGGAGTCCAGAAAAGAATAAAAGGGAGTTGGGAACAATAAGTAAGTATAGGTTAAAATACAGGAATTAATGAAACTTAAGAGTAAAGATAGTCTGACAAAGAAAGTATCAGACAGACATACATCAAGTAGCACTCCCTGTTTATTGACTTAAAGCATTTCTTCCATTTGATAGGCATTCCGTTCACATATCTCTTAACCAAACGTTTCTTTATACAAAGCGCTCAATGAAAATAGTCAATTTCAACTGAAAAAAAAACTATCCTTATTTAGTTTTTGCTTATAGAGTTTTCTTTTCCTCTAGGAAATATTATATTTCGGTTATGAATAGTTTCATTGTGCTTCTAACTGTTCCTCTTTCATTTTACATATCGTTTACACCTTGTTGTTGTTGTTGTTGTTTTCTTTTCAATTCATTTTATCTTTTTTTTCTTTCTTTTCGATTTAGGAATTTGCTGTCCTTTTAATATGTACCTTCTTTTGGTTTATAACGCTGATTGTTTCAGCTGCAAATCATCATAAAGGCTCTGGAGCTATCGCTTCTGCTGTAAGTTCCATTTGAAAAGTAGTACCATTTAGGTTTTTGTATTAGATTGTATCTGTTGAACAAGAACTAGTGATGCTAACTGACTTTCTGACCCTCAGTAAGTGAAGTGAAGTTCTAACATGGAAGTCACTAGTGGTTAGAAGTCAATCTTTTATGAAAATAAAGTTGTCATTAAGTAATACAAGTTAAATCTATGACTATGGTACATGTATAGTTACGTAATACAGAGATGAACGTATGCCAGTTAAGGCTTTATGATAGCTATGATAAAGATGAAGGTTGGACGTTCCTTTCTTGAACATATAACGCTGGTTTGAACTTCTGGATGGCTAGTGTTTCAGCTATAGACAAATGCCTTGATCTTATTCCCTTCGAATGGTTTGATCGAACCATGTAGAGAAGTTTGAATGAGCTCTCCAAAGGAGCTGAGTGACCTGAGTTGACGAGGTATTCTGCCATTGAACTGGATGATGTTCTCAGGCACGTTTTACAAGCAGATGTATAGTACGACCGATATACTTAACTCTACAAAAGCAAGTCAACTGGTATACACACACATTGATGTGGCTCAATGTGTCGGCTTGTCTTTCACATGTTGACCAAAATCTTTCTTCCAGGAGAAAATAATTTGAAGGTTGACGGTGAATTATGTTCTATTTCAGGGATTTTGACACTTGTTTCCTGGGGAGATGTCTGCAGCAATATCACTGTTGAATTCAAAACTCAACAAAAGGAATCTTTTTCAGCGCCAAATGTGTTCGTTCAGTTGAGTTCTTTTCTATGAATCTGAGCGGGAATAGGTCGGCTAGAAGCCGTGTTCTACCCTAGGTTTCATACTAATTGGCACCGATTAGCAAGACGTATCTGAAGCCGTACAGAGACTAATGTATCCCTTAGTGATCAAAGTATTGTTTTAAGCTATTTTGGACTTGTAAAATTGAAATATTCTTCTTATTCTACCTCTTCTGTTTCCTTCCTTGTATGTATAATATATAGGTGTTTTCTGCAGTCGCTCTTGCTGTCTACATTACAGAATTAGCAACTCGCTTCCGATGTGAACGTAGAGGAAATGGTTTTATTATTACAATGACTGGTGTAATGACTACGCATGCTACACGTGCTCCTCCTGCATTCACTCAACCCACTCCAGGTCATATACCATCAGAGTCAACAGATCCGCATATTGGATTTTCAGGCGCTTATGCACCAGGTGAACGTGCAGACGAAGGCTATGTTATGCCATAAATGTTGTGCATAGTTCATGCATATTAATTTACCTCCATTAGCTCTCACATCACTTTATTGTTGTGTGCGTATGCTTGTGCGTGTGCGTGTGAGAATCTTTTTTACATTTTGGTTAAACCTTTTCTCATTATTAGGCTACTATACATGTGTGCTTTTTTTGGCATATGAAAACTATTCACACCAACTGTTATTCTTCCAGCTGACGATAAGATGAGGAAACAGTCGAATTCACACAATACCAATTACTATTGTTATTATTATTATTATGATGGCGACTACGAATATTGTGCACCTCGTCATATATGTATATTATCTCTATTGATCTATTCTGTATTGTGATCATTGTATCTGATATCATTGCTGTTAACTTTCAAGTTGCTTTACGGATTACTTCTATATCTATCCTTACTCTATACAACACTCCTCACTCTTTTATATTTGGCAACTTCAGTATGTTCAAAATATCTCTAGTTCAGTGTTGCTCTCTACCTTCCCGCTTCCCTGTTATTTTCTGTATGCCTATAAACAGAAATATAGATCTTCTTATTTGCTCATTAGACTTACACAGACTTTGTTCAACACACATTCCCTACTCTATCATCTCGTCTACACCGATCACACCCCAGTCCTTGAATTGATTACATCAATTATTTATTCAGCTTATATGTATCACTTCGTTTCTGCTGCTGTTGCTGTTGCATTGTTTATTCCTTTGAATTCTTCGTCTTCATTTGCTCTGTTGATTCAAGTATTCTTATTGTTTCATGATACTGTTGATTATTCCTATCCCTGGAAATCATTTCCTCAACTATTATAACTAATCTAAATTAAAAATGATTGTGTTCTAAAAATATACACACTGACACGATTGTTTTTATCTTTTTTGATTGTTAGTGGTTAGTAGTGGGAATCCACCACGAGGGTTTTGTGCTATTATTTAGGACTCATCAGTTGAGTGTATCCTATGTCTCAGTGAGTGTTAGTGTTCCCACTGAGACTTGAACCCTTATTATTTATCACTTCAAACACTGGACCATTATCTATCAGTCTCTTTTCTTCATCTTAATGTAAAGTTTTTTCTGGTTATGATGAAATGAGCGACATTCTAAGGAATTATCTGTCTCTCTCTTCCTTTTACCTTTAACAGTTTGTATTGTATGACTTATTTTTAAGAGGAAAGAAAGTGGAAGTTTTACTGGATGAACATTGATACTGTTTAACATCAAATGCTAAATATCATGAAGATATTGAACATTGTACCTAGTCGAACTTCAGGGGTTTTTTTGTGTCCATTTCCATACCCCATCTTGTCTCATTCTGAAGTTTAATACCTAGTGATAGAAAAACTGACGTAGAATCTAGCACAGAAGTGTATCAGTTCACGTTGCCATACTTCATGGAGCTTACAAAGAGCAAGTGAGTAGACGTGTACGAAACGAATAGTAATCAATATACGAAGGTTAATGAAAATATTCAAAACATCGAAGATGGCCAATAGTTTATACACTTGCTATAAAGACACTTAGTCTCATGTTTCTTACCTTCAACGGTAGTTCATCATCAGTACAATTGATGCATAGTATACTCTTCCCTTTGATAGACATTCGGGTATTTTACTGGCACTAGGAATATCATCATTTAGCAAGTTACAAGTGAACCTTTTATATTCTCACTGAAACTTTGTCAATAGCCAACTGAGTAGGATTAATTAAGAAACTTATCAAGTATTGATACATAACCAAGTACTCCAGATCCCCTTGCTAAGCAAAAGGAAAACTGTACAATCTTTATTATTGATAAAATATACGACATTGAAGTTTGCGTAGGATACAAAACAAACAGGCTCCTACATGTCTACCTTGTGAGCTCCTGTACTCAACTGTCTTTACCGTTCCTATTTAACTAAAAGACAGCTTTATGTACGACTGACTCCTGGATGTCATCCAGTTGACTTGAAACATACAGATGATATTGTCTTACTAGAAGAAGACGATGACAAAAAGGGGGGTTTTCCGAACGCGTTGACCAGAAATCTGTGTATGTTTGGCATGCGTTTGCTCCACGACTGGTATGCAATGACTCCTAGATTAACGAAACGCAGTGAAGGGATGAAATGTGTCAACCACTTCACTTACTTCCGGAGTTGCATCACACCGAACGGGCTGGTTGATGACGAAATCTGAGCTCAGATGAAGAAGGCTCGTTTGGCACTTGTCGACTTGCGTCACCTGTGGCACCGAATGCTGATTTATCTGACTATATATCAAAGGATGAGCATACTGCAGTCCGTTCTGTCCTTTTGTACAGCTGTGAGACAGTAGTTAAAAGTAGATGTCATGAAACAGTTACAGTTATTCGACCATAGGTGTCTTCGTAGCATTGCTCATGTGTGGTGGAATCATCATGTGAGCAATGTTGAGATCAGGGGGAAGGTACTAGGCAAGACGAATAAGACGATTGATGAGGTTGTGAACGTTAGTTGACTGAGATGGCTTGCACATGTACTGTACATGTCGAGCCACCGCCTACCTTGACGTGTAGCGATACGGGAAATTGGATTAATGTGGAAAATGGTTGAGGGCAGCCAGACGAAAACCTGACACCAGTTGATGAAGTCCCTGACTGTTGACTTGAGCCATGTAGAGAAATGTAAATCGTCTTGCTGGTGTCCCTGAGACGATAGGAATCAGTGGTTGAGGACTGGATCAGTGCCATAACTGAAGGTCGGTCACAATGGTGCAGATGTATTCACTGCTTCCATAATCGCACTAACCGTTATCTTCAAATTGTTTATCCTCTCACACAACTTTGTCTACTTTGATATCACTCCTTTTTCTATCCGTCTGTTATTTGTATACTACAGTGAAGTGTGGCGACTCGAGCCGATGCAGTTGTATGCGAAATTCTACGCTGATTTTGTCGGTCAGTCAAACTATAGTTTCCCTGCAGTTATTGAATACTTTTCTTGACTACCAAATACATAAATGATCCTTTCATGATGAATATGTTTGTCACGTAGTCAGAGCTTCTGATTCAAATTATCTTTTAAGACGCCATATTCTAGCATGAGGTCATGCTTTGTTGAGAGACTGAAGTAGTGTAAGAAAGATTTTATCGTTTTCTTGATAAAGAAAGGTTGAAAAAACTAGGCAACAAGTTAACACCTCTCTTTTTGAAGTGTAATCTGCTTACTAGATCGCAAATATGATGTGAATGAGGTTTGATGTCAGTAGTATAAAGTATCCTATAAATTGCTTTAAGAGAATCCTTGTAAGCTTTGCAGAGAGACTGTAACACTGTATTACAGTGCACCAAAGTAGATAATTCATGAATGAAGAACCCAAGGTATTAGCGTTTCAGCTGCAGTTACTTCAACCACTTTAGATTAGTGCACTTTTGCTAGAGTTAGTTTTTAGGCACCAACATTTTGGATTGCCTTTGAAGTGAAGACAGAAGTAAGACAAGCTAGCCACATACTATCACCGATCATCTTCCTAATTGTCATCGACTCGACTCAACTGGACTGGATGATGCAAGAAACTGTGAGAAACGAAACGAGGGGCATACACTGACTGAACCAATGAAAAGACCCTAGAAAATTTGGATTTCGCCGATGATGACTTGTGTCTAATGTCGAAGAAACTCGAAGATCTACAAGCGAAAACCAACAAGTTGAAGGAAGAGATTGGGCAGCGATGACGGGACTTCTTTCAGGTGAACGTAGAGAAGACAGAGGTAGAGATGATGAAGATACCCAACCAACGACAACAACAGCATCAACAACAAGAGGCATCAATCACCATGAACGGGAGAAACCTAAATGAAGTTGTCTCTTTCACCTACCCAACTACCTAGGCAGGGCGGTATCGTTTCAACTACAGGCGACACAGGCACAGACGAGGATGTCAAAACCAGGATCAGGAAGACAACAAGACAGGCATTTCTTCATTAATTTGAAATCAGTGTGGAGATCTACTGCACTCCACTCAGCATAAAGTGTGAACAATATCTGGATTTTCAACACCAATTCAGTCAAGTCAGTCAGTGTTTCTATGCGATGGTTGAGAGACTTGGCGTCGCGTCACGAATAGCACTTCCAACAAACTGCAGACATTCATCAACAACTGCCTACGCCGGCTGGAAACTGAAGATCAGATGGATGGCCAGAATAATAAGAATAAGCAACAAGGAACTCACTCTGGCAACGAACCAACCAAGAACCTTTGGGAATTGTCCTGGTGCGAACTTGAAAGACGCAAAGGCCAATCATTAATTATTCATACTTGTTATATACCCACGAATACGAGACCAAGAAAGAACACAACAGTGTAGTCGTATGGAATAGTATATTTGCGAGGTCGTGACAAGATACCAATGCGTTCCAACTAGCTGGCTAGAGAGTCGATTACGAGCAGTGCAACGTAACACGACAGCGTGCCAAGTGGCGTGGATGCTTGACCGGGTGCTTTCAGCTTAGCGAGTCCAGTTAAATTATGAAGGTTAGCAGCAATGTTGAATGTCATCGAACCCTAGGCTATTGATCCTGGAAAAGCTTGTGACGCTACAAAGCCATCACCCAACATATATGCAGAAGAAAGTAGAGATGGATTGGATTGGACATACACTGAGAAGACCGACTGGGGACATCACACGTCAGGCCAGACACTCGAGTGGAACCGGAATGGGAAAGGACCAGTTGGGTGTCTGAGGGTGACATGGAGGAGATCATGTTAGGAAGAAATGAAAGCTTGTGAGGAGTCGTGGAGGCAGGTTGAAAAGACTACAGAGAAGGGAGTGAAATGGTGACGTGCTACTCAAGTCCTATGTTCCACTAGGAACCCAAAGGGCTCAGTAAATTTCGAAAAACACATAAAAACATTCACAATAGAAGTTAGTTAATATCAACAAGACTGACATCACTATGGGACGATTCAAATTCTTGACACTTTGTTAGGGTTTGGATATCAAAATGACCCCACAAGCTACGCTGGCAGGAAAGCTTGTTCCTTGAGGTCATGTCTTACCAGAAACCTATGTTGAACAGTGGTAAGATAAAAAGCGGTTACCGTCATAGTGTTAATTACCATACTTTGCTAGTAATCCGAAGGTGAAATCTTACTGCTGGTTTGACAAGGATGTGACATCAATAAGGTGTCTAGGAGTATCACATTGATGCTATCTTCCCTATGAGAAGGGGATAAAAACGGTCGACTCCGAAAATAGCATACACCTCCATACCTTGAATTTTTCTGGTGCCCATGGTATAGATTTAAAGCTGGTTACAAAACAAACTTTAACTTCCAAAAAGGCCGTATGTAACTGGCTTCAAGCAGATGTCCCCTTACGCTTTGTAGTCACACATTACTATTACTAACACAATTTCTTTTTTACCCACCTCAAGAAGCAGTAAACTCCTGCAGTGTGTACAGCTTCGAAGTATCAATTCTACGGGATAACAGGTATTTAAAAAGTGGAATAAGACGTTGAAGATTTCTATTCTAGAAAATTTTCAAAAATGTTCGACCACTCCATCTGCTAATAAACAGAAGCCTATGAAGAGTGTAGTCTGTCAGGATATCATCAGAAGTCACTTTCTTCTGAGCTTCTACATTAATTGATTGCCAAAAGTAGCAGAATCATCGGTGCTCTTACTAGCCCATGACCTAAAAGCGTAGAAGGTCGATCTTGATGTGGAATACAAGCCTACATTAATAAGCTAACTAGGTGAATGTAGTCAGAAGCTCCAAAATGTTTAGTACTATTATTATTTCTCCCTTGGGTTCCTAATGGAACATAGGGCTTCAGTAGCACGTCTCCATTCCACTCTGTTCTACGCAGTCTTTTCAACCTCGCTCCACGACTGCCCACAAG